AATTAAAATTATCTTTTATATTTATTTTAATAGGCCATACTTTAATTCAATTTCGTGATGATTCTCATCGACGACTTTCACCATCAGTATCATCAGCACATTTTGATGAACATCATCGTCATCATTTACCATCAACTGATGAACAATTAGTTCATATTTCAACATCATCATCGACACGTTTTCCACTGCCATTACTTGGTGAATCACCATCACCAAACCGTATTCATCATCAATTTGGAAATAATATGATACAAGTACAACAACAACAACAACAACAACAACCACCATTACCACTTTTACCAACACCAACAAAAAATGATGAACATCAAAAACAATCACCTTTTCCACGACGACAAAATCGTTTTGAAGAAAGAGAAGATTTAATACAAACACAAAATAATAATGGAAATTATTCAAATTATCGTGGTGGACGAAATATTTATAATGATCGAACAAATTCAAGTGCCATATCAAGAGGTTCTAATCGAGGAAGAGGAGGAGGTTAGAAAAAATTTTTGAGAAATTCATATTGAATAAAAATTAATCAAATTTATTTTTTGTTTTTTAGGTGGTGGAAATAATAGTGGTCGAGGTTATTATAATAATAATGATCGAGGTGGTCGATCAGATAATAATGATGGAGGATTTCGAAATCGAGGTGGTTTCAATCGAGGAGGTACCTGTTTTTTTCTTTTTCCATCTCTTTCTAGTTTATTATTTATACTATTGAATAGGTCGTGGTGGTAATAATAGTGGTCAATCTCGGTTTTTTCCTCGTGGTAATAATCGAGGTAATAGTCATGATCATTCATCATCACGTCGATCATCTCGTAGTCCTGATCGTCGTTCATCTTCATATCGTAATGATCATAATACAGATAAATATTCTTCAATACCAAGTGGATTTTCTGCACCACCATCTGATGAATTTTCTCATCGTTCACTACCAATTGAAGCATTACGTAAAAAAGATCAATCAAATATTGATTCATCATCAAATAAATCATCATTAATTATTGATGAAACTAGTGGTAGTAGAACTGGGCACACTGATTAACCATTAATTGATTGATTCGTCTTTTGTTTCTTTTTCTTTCTTTTTTTTTTCATTTATTATACACATATTACACTTTTTCTTTTCTTTTTTCGTTTGTTCTACATGTTGCTTTTCTTCTTCTTCTTCTTTTTTTTTTTTGTTCTTTTGTGTTCGATGTGAATGTACAGCGTTATGTCTCCATTTTTCCCATTGTTCTTTTTTTTTTGTTTTTTTGCACACGTACACATATCCAAGATGCTTGAGAAAGAAAGACAGAAATTTAAAAGATTTTTATAGTTGAAATGCTATAATGAAAATTTAGATAGAAATATCTCGAGAAATAATTATTTCAATCTAGAAGAAATGACTAAATAAGATATACAATAGAATTGATTTCTTCAAAATTATTATTGATTAAGATTCATAATGAATCAAGTGATGATGCCATAGAATGACATATACAAGATGTATTAATCTTTTTTCATCGATGTAATTTCGTACAGTAAAAAAAGTCGAAAATCGTAAACAAATAAAATGATTCTAACTCATAATCATATTATAATGAATAATTCGTTAGAATACATAAAGGCTACATAGGAGATTTTACTCAAATGTGAATATAATACATGATTTAATTAACTAATAACAAATGATATTATTTGTTTTCTCAAGCTATCGAATAAATTCGCATCCAAATAAATATAATTACAAACTTATTTTGAAACAAAAATTCATCGTCTTACAGTAGTCGCAAAATGTTTCGCTATCAGGTAAAAAGTATCTAAACTTTAATCCGTTAGTCTCATAGTTTGACCACAAAGAGAGCATATTGAACTCTGATTGCAAGGACTAATCAAGTCTTCATGCTGAGGAACTAGAAGGTTAATCTAGATTTTTTTTTCAAACCAGGATATCTCAACATAAAAAACAAATCTTATTATTTTGAACTTCTTATTCAATAGCTCAATACTGCCTCTATCATCAACAAAGATCTCATGTCAAACTATTTTAGTTTATCTAATTTATAAAGTAACCTTCAGATAATCTTCACATGAGAGTCGATGGGAATCGTCGAACAATGGTCTATATGTCTGGTTAATTTTAACTATTGGCCTTGAAATTTTCTCCAGTAAATGCCCTGTTCTAATCAAGTTTTTTTTGCTCAAAACTTTACGATCGCAGCCACCGACAAAGAAAAGATCCATGCTGAAATCGTCTCAGACCATGATGGCTTCGCTGCAGCTCAAGATTACAACAAATTGAAATACCATATAAACCAAAGAAAGTATTAAAAGAGTCTTTTTAAATTCTGTGTAAAACCTGGTTGTGATGGTAAAACTTTTGCATTAAGGTATATCGATCTTGTGTTGCTGCTTGCAATTAGGATTTACCGAACTCTAATTGTAAATAAAATATCACGCAAAATGATTGAATTTTATGTATTTTTTTCCCTGGTAGCGAGACTTTCTGCAATTATTTTATATACATTTGTATTAATGAAAAATTGTATTTATTTAATGATAATATCAGAAGAAACATTAATAATTTTTCGTTTTCAAATTAATAGAGAATCATTAGAAGAATTATCGAAGTAGTTCTGGTGTTCAATAATCATTGTCTGCCTAATATCTTGAAGTTTTTTTTTAATGTTACAATAAGAAATCACTATAAAAAACGTATTCTAATAGAAATCAATAGAAGAAATTAATAATTCATCGAATATAACAATATAATAATTTTACAATCTATTAATATTTTGGCGCATCTATTTTTTCCTTCATAGTTATTCGTTGATTTTCATATTGAAGAAATGCTTTTCATAAATATGATATTAATAATAATGTTCATACCTTTGTGTATTTCTGATACACCTTATCTTCTTCGTTCATATCCTAATGATTCAATTGTTACATCTTCATCATTTAATAATGGACCATGTTTAGAACTAGTTAATACATTATCATTTCTTCAAGGTACCGATGAAGCATCTTTATATCATACTGAATGTTTACATAATTCCGAAGAATCCATACTTACTTGTAAATTAGGTCTTAAAGATTCTAATTTATTACTTGATTTAGAAAAATATCCACTTAATGAAATAAATGTAGTTATTATATTTGTTCAAGAATTTCCTGAAAAAAAAATTCGAAATCGTGTACTTGATTTATGTTTTTTAAATCGTTTTGGTACATCATTACGAGAATTAGCTATTTGTGGTTATAAACCAGAAATAACTAAATCATCAACTCGTAGTTATTTACATATACTCGATATACCTGCTTTAGCTATAGTTGCATCTAAAATACAAACATTATTTATTAGTGGTATGTTTTGTAGATTTAATTTCATAAATAATTCATTGAATATTTGTTGTTTTTTTTTTCCTTCTATTATTAAAAGGTATTAATATATGGCAAAGTGTTGAATTACGTCAATTTAAATCATTAAAACATTTACTTATATTACAAGGACGTAAGTTTTATATATTTTTCGAATGAATTTTTTGTTTTTTGTATTCTATTTTATAATAAAATATATACATTTTTTTGTAAAAAAAAAAAAAAAAGAAGGTACTATTCAAATGAGATTTTATCATACTCCACTTTGTGCTGATTGTGAAGGTGCACATCCACCAGCAGAATTTTCATTTCATTATCTTATTCCATTATCATCACAATTAATTTATTTTCTTTATGATTCTCCTTATAAATATAAATCGTGTACACATGATTTACTTAAAAAAATTAAATTAAGTAGTAGTTCAACTATTTCAACATTTATTATAGCTTCACAAGAATTTTATAATGATGAAAATAATCCAATATGTCAAACATGTGCAAGTGGTTTATGTCCATTATTATCTGTATGTCTTGATGAAAATTCTCAAGAACGTCGAAAAAAAGATGAACCATTTGAATGTTTATGTGTTGAAGAATTAGAAGTTGAAGATGAATTTAAATCATGTGATCCTATGACAATTCATCCACCAATGTATTCAACAAGATGTAATCATACACCATCAATTTGGAATTATATAACTCTACCAATAATTATTTTAGTATTGTATATTTTACTTTCAATTATTGTTTTTATTATTTCAACAATTTTTCTTATAAAATCAAATTCATAATAAAAAAACAGAAAAGAAAAGAAAAGAAAAGATATGTTATTGTTTTTCTTTTTTTTTTTTTTTTATTCTATTTATTAAAAAAATATTTGATTATAATAGTTCAATGTAATGTCAATCATCTGCTTGAATAAATTTCTTTCTTGGTTTCCTGTTTTACTTGCTCTCATATTGATTTAATTTGCTTGTGAGTAGTAATAACTAGATAGATTGTTACTTGCGTGACACTCAACATCTACATACTTTGATTATGATTTCCTTGTTCTGCTTGTTTGCCTGCCAGGACCCCTATGGATTTATTTGCTTACCAAATTGGTTACTGCTTTCAGTCATCTTATTTCAAAAAAAAAAAAAAGAAAGAATTCATTAGAAATCCTTTCTATTAGTGCCCTGAAGCGTTCCTCCTTCATTTCTATCATCGTCTCCTTTTCCTTTCTTCTTCTCTCCTTATGTGTCGCCGTGCTTAAGTATCGTCACAGCTCGCGACAGTCACAAATTAGACGCGTTTAATCAGAACGTGCATGCCCAATGTATAAGAGGGACCCAGTCATACGTTGTATTCTCTCTCTATCTTGTTGGCAACATTAAAAGAGAATCAAAAAAAAAAAAAGAAAGAGAGAACGTATTTCTAGATGGCTGCGACCATCTTCTCGTTTCTAACATGTACTTCTCATCATCATCAGTACTATGGTTAGATGCCTTAGGGAAATGCTTTGTTAAGTTAAAAAAGAAGAGATCGAGAGAACGAAGAGAAAGAAGATAAAGTAACAAAAAAAAATTAGCCGTGTGAATAGAATCATACCATTTTGAATAAAATAACGCCTATCAAGGAAAATGTTTGCGGTTCCTGAAGTCGACGATAACATTGAAATTTCCATTCCGATAGAAACTACAAAGTCGATTACACAACCCGAAGCAACAATAGAATCTTCTATATCTCCACCATCACCGCCTTCAGCTTCACTAGTTGAACAAATAAAAAAAAATCCAATTAAAATGCCTATACCTCCAGCAACAGTATCTTCTAAACAACATCATTCTCGTCGAAGTCTTTTCCATCGAAATACAATTCATATATGTGATCAAATTGTCGATCGAATGTAAGATATATTTTCTTTTACTTTTTTCTTTTTTCTTTCTTTTTTTTTATAATAATGATACCTGATTTCATAATAGGTGTCTATATGGGTCAGTGCACATCCAAACACATAAGAATAAGAATGAGTTTATAATAGACATGTTCTAAGACATCATCAACGGTTGCTGGTGTCTTCTGAAGCGAGAGTGGATTAGCTACAAGAAATAGCCTTACTGTCGTCACGGGAATACAGACTAAATGTCATACGTCGCATTATAAAGAAAGAGAAAAGTTTCTTTGGTCTGTCACACGTTGTCATGAACCTTTTCTATTCATATTTAGATAAATATATAGATAGATAGATAAATAGATAGATCGATATGTGTGCATACTTATATGCACAGTGAATCTTCTTTCGTCATCTATGATTGAAAAGGTAAATGTGTCAAAAGAAGCTGCCATCATCTCTTTTGGTAACATAATACGTACTTGTAAAGAAAATGTCTCATTTTTCCTTTTCCTCTTCGCTTGTTGATGGATGACCGGAAACAGTTGTTGCTAGTTATGTGACATTCGATAAATCTTGTGCTTCAATGATGTTGTAACTATATACATATATTCATAGGCCTAACCTATGTATGTAACATGCAAAGATGAAAAGATGAAAAGACATTGCTTAGAGGCTCAAGGGAAAAAAAACTTAACACAGGTACTGTCTCTTGTATATATATTTATATATATGCAATAGTAGAAAATAGAGAATGTGATTGCCTATCATATATACATATTCTAATAAACTATCTTGTTAGTTTACACCATCTGTTCGTAATAGTCAAATAGAAGATGAATTCAGCCTGCAGAATAAAAGTTCTACACTGCAGAAGATTTTAGTTAAGAATGACATACGATGTAAATATAAGCATTTCTGGCAATCGTATATATATATATATATATATATATTTTGTACGTTGATATGAATGACTAATAATCGTGATTCAAATCAAATAAACAGAACAAAAAAACAAAAAAAAAAAGATTACAAAACCATTCATTTAGAAATGCAACAGACACAGATTACATCAATATTATATACATAACCATTTATTTGTCTGTATAGTCTACATTGTTCTCATTTTCTCTTTCTCTGTAACTCTATTTTCTTGTTATTAAATTCATCGAAGAAAAATCATGTATAATTCTTCACAAATGATTATCGATCTATTTATTCTGATCATCATTATCACAAATCTAAACTATGAGAAAATTCATTTAAAATATTTTTCTCCTTCTTTTATCGGAGATGTTTGTAAGACTTGCTGATAGGTAAGAACAAAAAAACTAGTAATCTACTTATAATATTTTATTATTCCATATATATTTATTCAAAAAAAAAAATCTATTGTATTACCTACTAACTTATATTTATAGTGGTTTTGTCACCATTATCAATAATCAATCTTTTTTTTTTTTTTTATTGTCACATAACAAAAATGTGTGAAGAAAAAAGAAAAGTACAAAGAAGAATAGCATGACAAATTACAAACATCATATAGGTGTATAGAATTACAAGCATAGAAAGAATGAAATTTATTCTTCTTTTTTTTTTTTTTGTTGACAGCATCATGATCAATAACAAAAAAAAAGACCATTTTGTACATGTAATCATCAAATGATGCATATTTTTTGTTTTTTTGCATTATCGCTTTTAAATGTCCTTTAGACAAGAACATTGTATACCTTTTTGTTGCTTTATTTTTTTATTCTATTCACAACATTTTATTAATAGAAACAAAATAACACCATTTTGCACGTTGCGTTTTTTTTATTATCACGAATTCTCATCTTTCGTTTTCATTTTTATATTCTACTACCCCTAGAATAATATATATATATATATCTATTCTCTCCTGCTCGAATCCATTAAACAATAACAAAAAACAAAATGAGCCATTAAAAATCGTTTGCATATTATCGTGATGGTAGTTGACAACAGCTGTATGATAATAGATGATAGGGAAGAAAAAAGTCTACAAAACGGAAAAAATACTTATTTGTTTTTTTAATTCAATCTTTCATAATATTTTCATTGTGTGTTCTTATTTAGACATTATCTATGTATCATCTAGTCGAATAAAATCTGGTAGCATGTTAATTCCTTAGAGATTCTCTTTTTTTTTTATATTAAGAAAATAATGTCCTTCTGTTTTGAAAAGAATCTATCGATCTATCCTATCTATCCTATCTATCTATTCGTATGACCTTGATCATCATCATTTGGAAGTCGACAACCTGATATATGTATATGCATGTAACCTTGACATTCCATTAGAGATGATGTTGATGGGTATGAGAAAGAAAAACGACATCATCATACTATTGCTCTAATTATAATTCCTACGACTGTATCATAAACAAATCGTTTTTCTTCTGAAAAGCATAGAATCTTGTTTTAAGTAAGTGTCAACAACAAAAAAAGAATGATTTTATATCTGACATATAGTTAATCGCTTAGTGAACAAAACATCGATTGTTGTTTGCATATTAATCTTGATTATCTTGTCAGAACTGATTCATATGTTTTTCTTATTTTTTTTACTAAATATTCTTGCTTGTTTTTTTTCTCCAGGCAAACATATCCCAAACAAATGTACAATAGCTTTACTGATGTTATGATACAGTCTGTCGTCTTTTTTTTTTTCCGCTTTATTCTCATGGGTGTTGTTGCGGTTGTTTTTCTCGATGACGACTAACCAAGAAATGCTAGATAAAGAACAGCTTGTTATTATTTTGATGCACCATTGATGCTTTGTCTTGTTTATTGGCAGCGATAATAAAAAAAGAAAGAGACGAAGAAAAACCAACTACTACTATTAGTAGTTCTACGAATGATGTACATCGATGGATGTGTTTAAGAAATGGAAGTAAGCAGGTAATAGACAACGAACATCAGATAGTGATTTCATGTTGAAAAATCGTGTCAATAGATTAATGTCATTATTTTGAATAATTAAATATATGTCTTCGATCATGACACTCTGTCAAAGGTCGTTTTTAGTTGAATAGACAAATTAAACAAATAAAACTCTCTATTGACACTCTCAGTATGATTATCCAGTTCATACAGAAAAAGACATCCATGATAATCATTAATGCGCTTTTATCTCTTTTTATATCTCACTATTGCATGTTTCACACATATACGAAAAAAGAAAAAAAAAAAAAAAGAAAATATGAATGCAATTTAATAGTTTCTTTTTTTTTTTTCATTTCTTCTTTTCCTCACCCTCACCGCAGACATACTTACACGAATATAGAAAAAGAGTCTGTAAAATAATAAAAAAAAAAAAACGAAGCTTATAGTAGAAGAAGAACGCAAAACGTAGTGTGAGAGCATGTGTTCGAATCAATAGAGAGCAAAAAAAAAAAAGAACAAGAGAGCAATCTTTTCTCTTCTGTCTTCATTACACCATTACGTTTATTTGTGCATTCTATATTTCACGTGTGCCATGTCGTCAAAAGCAAAAACTGCGGCTACAGACAAAGCTACGAAAACTAAAAAACAACCATCGAAAAAAAAAGAAAAAACGGCTACAAAACAAACAATATTATCAAAATCTGATATTCCAACATCTTCTCTTTCTAATTCTAGTACATTACATCAACAACATCATTCAGCTCCACCATCACAAAATCAACAACAGTCAAAAATAGGTTTACAATCTATTAATGAAAATGTAGAATATTTATCTACAAATGGAATAAATGAACAAAGACAAAATATAATTAATTCTCGTTTTCCTCGTTCGAATACAGTTCCTTATCCAGTATATGCAACATTTCGAAAGAGTCCTGGAAATACTCTTCCTTCAAATTATTATTACAGTGATTATCCAACAATTATTCAAGGAACAGTTTCACCCGAACAAGCAAATACATACTATAACATAAGACAACCACTTTCATCAATAAATACTAATTTTCAACCAATATCACCTTATCATCAACAACAACAACAACAACAACAACACGGTAATCGACCTGTTGATATTCTTAAACCAACATTTTTAATTGTACCAAAAGAAGCTGAACAACAATTAACAGCTCAACTTTCAAAATCTAATTCACCTATACCAACAACAAATACTACTATGAAATCACCATCATCATCATCTAAATCAACAACAAAGAAAATTGATACAAAAAAACAAGAAAAAAAACCTATTATTAAAGAACAATCATTACCTAATGTTCGAAATGTTGAAATTCAAACCAATAATCATTCACCAACTAGAGCAACAACAACAGCAGGAGTAACAATTATGGATAATACACATCAACATGTTGGTGTAATAGCTACACCTAATCCATCACCATATGTTCATTTTGTTAATGTATCTTATCCAAGACAATCACCACAATTTTTACAAGATGGTCCACCAGAAACATCTATTATGAATGATGAATTTTTACATGTTAATGAATATCAACCATCAGGTAGTATTCGATCAATGCCAAATATTGCTTTATCACAAGGTAAAAAAAGAAAAATAATAAAAATCATTTTTACATATATAGATGTGTAATGGAAACACATGTCTGAGTTCTAATAGAATGTATATAACAACTCCTCCCATTGATTTTCTGTTCTCTTGTATCCGATTATCCTCATTCGATATTACATCATAGAGACAAGATAATTCGTCCGTCAATCAATAGCTGTATGCTTAGATATATATAGATTATATGTGCTCTGTTTTATTTCTTCTAACAGTTGTACCATAAATATTCTTTTTTTTTTTATTTGACCTAATCGTAGTTATAAAGAATTTCTTTCTTTTTTCTCTTTTTTCATAGTCTCACCTCATCACCTATATGGCTCACCTACTTCACGACATTATCATCCTTCTCAACAAATATATGATGAGCAACAACAACAACAACAAGTACCATTGACAAATATTGAACCAACTGTTGTTCGTTCAGCTACTGTACCTCCAATGGCACCAACATCGAAAACTACTCGTTTGGAAACAAGAGAAACAGATGAATCAAGTGTAACATCACTTGATTTTCCTCATACGGATCTTATTGATATTCCTGGTTCATGGCGATATCGATCATTACCTGATGGACGATCAATGCCTGTATCAACATCAGCAAGACGACATCGTGCACCAATACCTCGATCATTTTATGATCCTCAACATTATGCTAGTGATTCGGAACAAGTCGTACGTTCATCTAGTTTTCGTCATCCACAACAACAACAACAACAATCATTAGTAAAATCACGTCCATTTGGTTCAATACCAACAATTAATGGGTAAAAAGAAATATTCAAAATTATTTTAAAGAAATAAAATTTTTTATTATTATTATAATATTTTTTTATATGTAAATTAGACCATTTGATTCAATTCGAAGTCAACAAACAATTCAACTTGCACCATCAATTCGTTTAAGTGAAAAAGATGTTTTAAAAATCGGATCATTTTATCAAAGTATCGGTACACTTGTGTATGTTGCTCGTAGTATTGCTACACTTTATACATCGGATTTTGATGCTATGGCTAATTTAAAAGATTGGAAAAAACTTTATACAGGTGTACCTATATGGCTTTTCAATACGGGCATGAATCCTAAAAGGTAAATGAAAAAAAAAATTCTTTATTGAATCTATTATACGATTCTTTTCATTGTTCTTTTCTTTTTTAAGAGCTCGTATTATTCGTTTAGTAATATCAGAACTTGGTTCAAGTTTTACACTTTGGGATACAATGGTTAATGGTGCATCTGATGTACGCCTACCAAAGGCACGTCATATAACATTAAAATCACTTGAAACAGGTACAGTACTTGCATTAAAATTTGATGATACAAATGCAACAGATGAATTTCATCAATATTTTGTTAAATTATCATCCAATCCACGTAATGGTGATTTATTTGATATATTTAATGCAAAACGACGTCCACCTAATTTTATTTTACGTAGACGAAGAATAAAAAAATCAGCTATTTCAAAACCAACAGAATTTAATCATATAAACAAAGTTGATGAACATGATCGAGATTCATTATATACTTATTCGGTGCTGGTTGATAATGGAGCTCTTATCAATTAGAAAATTAAGAAGGAGAACAGAATATTAAAAAAAAAAAAGAATTTATTGTTGTCTTTGTCTTTTTCTTTTTTTTGTTTTTACGTATGCTAATATATGTATGTGTGTGTCTGTGTGTTTATATATGTCTCTTATAACTATTGTATTGCCTATTCTCATGTTCAATATCTACGGGGCTTTTTTACTATATAACCCATAAGTAAACATATATATATATATATATGCATTCGTTTATTCAAGCAAGAGCAGTGAATTGAACAACATTGTTTGATTGACCTTTTAAAGCCATCTCGAATATCGACAACCTGCTTTTGTTGTAGACGACAAGCTTATCAATAGAGAAATCGAGATTAGATGGGATGAATATGATCTTCTTTGATTTCTACTGTCAATTTTTTTTTTTATTAGATTTAAAACATTTTCACAACGATATGCACTATTGAAATCCATTTTTTTGTATAAATGGAATTTATTATTTAATCATCAGGGAAAAGACAAAGCAAGAATGATTAAATAGATAAGAATTGTCTCGATTAATTTGCATAAGTAATAGTTCCTTTTTTTTATTTTCATTTGAGAGTTGTGTTATAAATGAAGAAATGATACTATGTGACAGATGGTGATGATAATAAAAGAAGTTCATAGTAAATGTTTTTTTAAGTGGTGTTGTCATTCACGATGGAAATAATTTAATCAATAAGAGAAAAAGAAAGTTTTTTTCTTTCCCATATGGAATTATATTGAATACAGTTATTCAAATAGAAAAATGAGTTTTTGTTTTTTTGTGACAAATATAGTGCAAATCCTACAGGACCTATGGTTATTTTATTATGATATTAGCTTACATTAAGAGAAAATAACATGTTCGAAAAAAAACCATGAAACACATTTTTCTATGGGGAAAATTTTCGGTTGAAATATTCTAATTTAATTGCTTTTTTTTTTTCTTCTATTGTCTTATCGAAGGTTGAAATCTCAATAGAAAAATTAATATCGGTCTACATCAAAGTTACACTTAAAATCGTATTAATATTAATCGTATGTGTATTTTATTTATCTACAAAGGAATTTGATAATCAGTCCGATTGTTTAAATCAAGGCGCGAGAAGAATCAAATGAATCACCGTTAAAGAAATTTCTCTATATGTTTAATATATTTCTAATTAATTTATTATCAATCCATTTTTCTATTGCTAATGATCCTATTATCATTGCTTCACCGTATCCATTTAATACATCAGAAACATCATATATTGAATGTTTTAGTAATGATCAAGGTATTATTCTATCATTGACAATTATTGCTACAATGATAGATATTGATAAAAATATTTCTTCATTAAAATATAGTAAAGATAATATAAAAAATAATGAAAGTATTATTTTAACAATATCTACACCATTTAATTATTCAAAATTACATTCAAAAATTGAATGTCATTCAAAATATCATTATGGTGTACAAAAAATTAGTCAACTTGATGTATTTTCAGTTGCTGAAATAACTCAAAAAGAATTTCTTACTATAAATACTTATACAAAACAAATGGTAACTATTAATTGTTTAACATATGGAACAAATGTTAGTAAGTATCGAGAAAAGAGAAAATGATAAAAACTTTTTGTTTTTTTTGTTATTGATATTTTCCTAGTTATTCATTGGGATTTTACTAAAGATATATCAAAAAATCTATTTAATTCTTTACCTATTGATATTCATTTTTATCATAAATTTATTCTTAATGATACATTAATTATTGATCATGTTTCTTATTCAAATCATCATGGGTATTATCGATGTTATGCAATAAATAAATTATTTAATATAACTTATGAAGATAAGAGTATTATTTATTTAAATGTTCAAAAATCTACTATATGGATTCCGATTATAATTGTATGTGTAGTTATTATAATATTTATTTTAATTTTTATTCTCTGTACAAAATATTTTCAAAAGAAAAGAAAAAATCAACAATTAAAAAAAAAAGAAATTATTGATCAAATTATATCAAATCAAGAATCAATTGAATTTTCAACATATTATAATCATCAAAGAAGTTCTGAACAAATAATAAACGATGTTGAAAAATTAAAATTACAACAAGATAATCTTTGTAATTTTTCTCATTTGGAGAATTCTTTCAAATCATCAATATCATTTTTATCGACAAAAAAAGAACAAGAACAAATAGCATTTTTAAATTCATTATCGATTTCAACAAAAACTTCTCCTCAATTCATTCTTGGTAATCCATTTCTTGATTCAAATATTCAACCATTAACTTCGGTTATGAAATCATATATTGATAAATTTGAATAACTTTTGTAAATCTTCTCTTTAAAATAGTTGTAGATCATCTTTTATGTAAATTAATAAGCATTGATATAAGAGATAGATTGAAAATTTCTAGATAATATATTTGACTATTTTTTGTGTAATTAACTGCATGAGAAGATAGTAAGAAGTAGTGTATTATAATCAAAATTTTGTGTTCTTTCAGAATATGTGCTTAGAATTTTTCTGTAATTTTTGACTAGACCTTCTCGAGTTGGTTTCGAATCCGCATCTTAAAATTTTGTACTCGATAGGCTTTAGTTGTCTCAGAAATGTGTAGAATGCACTAGTCATCGAATTATAAAAGGCTGGAAAAAAGTATCTTATATCTGTGTAGTGACTATCCAATTTTAATTAGAAAATTTTACTGAGAGTATTAGAGTACGGTTCGACTGAATCCGAAAAATTTTGAACTCGGCGGGCTCTAATTGTGACTATTGAGCTATATGTGAATCTTGAAAAGGCTCAAAAATTTTGTTTTGAAGGGAAAAACCTCAAATATAACTTATTCCGAGATATGCCACAAAATTTTGTCGAATATATTGGAAGGAAGATACAAAAAATAATTGTCTACAAAGCGGTATAGTTGAATAATATTTTTTGCAAGCCGTTGAAATATAGTAAAGGCTGTTATAAAGTCTATCGCAAGAGAAATGACTACTGTCGGCGCCAGAATTAAATGTATGTTGGTGTAAGACGAATATCTCGAGAATGGCAAAAGCTAGCGATCTGCGACTTTCACCAATCGAAAGAAGCTGAGTTAGGACATATTTTAATATAATATTATGCAAGATGAAATCATTACCTAATCAATCTTGTTTGAGAATCTTTCCAAAAATGTATAATAATGCAATGTAGTTTCAATGAAAGTTTTATTTTGACATGTGTATTAAGTAGAGAGACTTCAGCTCTATAATTCAAGATATAATGCGAATGGTTATCTTCTCATGGTCTAACGATGAGTAAATGAATTCGGCCTTGCGTTGATTTTTAACCAAGTTTTTTTTTTACATTTTATCAAAATGATTTATTGTTCCGATGAAAATTTGATAAAAAGTAAGAAAACTTGGTTGAAAATCAACGCAATTCTCTATTATTTTTGCAAGCACATGGTCGAATTCATTTACACATCGTTAGATTATAAGAAGATAACCATTCGCATTATATCTTGAACTATAGAGCTGAAGTTCCTCTATCTAATACACATGTCAAAATAAAAATTTCATTGGAATTACATTGCATTATTATACATTTTTTGGACAGATTCTCAAACAAGATTGATTAGGTAATGATTTCATCTTCCATAATATTATATCAAAACATGTCCTAACTCAGCCTATTTCAATTGATGAAAGCTGGAGATTGCTAGCTATTGCCATTCTCGAGATATTCGTCTTACATCAACACACATTTAATTCTGGCACCGACAATAGTTGATATCATGATCAAATGTATCTGTGTTTACAAGAAACGAAATGAAAATTCTATAGAAAAAATGAGTTGTGTTATTGCTTTTAACGACAAGAAAAATATTACAGAAAAAGAAAAATTTTAACTTTGTGCACGTGTTTTTACAAACGCCTGTATGGCATCTATGAAGCTGTTTACAATTTTACGCTGGATCAAGAACATATCATATGGATAAATAATGTTGAATATATTATATTTGATCATGATTTTAAAAAAGATATAAAAAAAAGTGTAGAATAATAAATCCTCACTATCCGTTAATTACTATTAAATAATCCCTTTCTGTTCATAAACCTTAGCAAGGCTTCGTGACTGGTTGCAAATTCATATATCCTTGTACTGCTTTCTATGTTCATTAATCCTTTTTAGATATATGAACAAATTAAACATTTAGAGGAAGGATTTATCATTTGCACGTTTTAAATACAACCATAGAAAACTAAGTGTAAATTACGCTCATAGATCTAAAAAGGATTTATATAATGGTGATAAATGAATAAGCGAAGGTTTATTATATTACATTTTTTTTCTTTTTTTCACATAGCATACTTATTACGGTATTAAACATGTTATCAAATATATACATATTATAGAGGAACAGCAAAAATATATAAATAAAACTGAATTAATCAATACGAAGCAAACAAACTGATATTGGTAGTAGTATTTGACAACCTTAAAATATTGATCTTATCGATTCTAATATTATTTCTATCCGATAAAACTTAATATAATCCTTTTTAAATTTAAAAATTAAATGTAATAATTAATTTGAAAAGAATCATTTTTCTTTTAATTAATATAGCCATTAGTTTTATTTAAATAGAACAGATTAACAATAAATCATTGTATGTAAGTTAAAAAATTAGAATAGAAGTATATAGAAAATAGTTACTGAAATCATAAAAACTACCAACAAGAAACACTTCGTCAGATTATACACATCCTATATATATATATATATGTATTGGCTAGTCCAGCACTGTGTAAGGGTAAAGAAGTGTGTATAACCTGAGGAAGTACTAGAAATTAAGATGAACCTGAGCAACATAATTTAATATTCGGTAGTTTTATTATTAGTAAATTAAACGAATCTTTTTGTCGTATCGAGTCATATTACAAAGCAGTCAAAACAATATATTTTTTTTTCCTCAATATCACATAAAAACAAAATTATGAATAATTTTGTTTTTCCTATTCTGTTTAAGTACAAATATATGAATAGTGACTATAAGACAGTCATTCATTATATTCGTTAATATAATCGAATGTATTTTGATATTTATAATGAAACTTTAGTCAATTTAATTCAGAAAAGTCTCTGATTTTGTTCGTTATAATTAAACCTATCAAATTTCTACATTAATCATCTATTATAATGATTGATCTTTCAAGATATTGTATTTGTTTAATTACTCTCAAAACAGTGTATGCATTCATTGAGATCAAAATTGTGTTTTATAAAGATATTTTTTTTCGATAAGTATGCGGTTTCATCAAATTTACTATAATTAATCGAAACGACAGAACATCATCAGATTATGTCAAAAACAAAAATCATTCAAGCGTAGTTGAAAATCTGAATAGCATAGTTTGTCGTTGGTTAAGAAGACCGTTTGCTTTGACATGGTGTTTATATATTTCTATTAAAAACTACTCATAATTTATAGTAATTAGATAAATCATTATCTAACTGTTTATCTTTTACTCTATCGAATTCAAATATGATTCATATAGTTTATGGGTCGAAATGTTTTCTTCGATATTTTTTTTTTAATCATATAATCAAAATTTTATTTACAATATTTTATCTTGTGTCTTATTCGTTTGTTTTTTTTCTTGTTGTTGTTGTTGTGTCAATGAATATATAAAGAACAAAATCGGAAGAAAAAAAATCAAAACAAAAACAAAAACAAAAACATATCTATCATAAAAAATGAAAATAATTGCTTTAATAAAGAAATGCTGCATTGTCTTTTAATTGTTTAAGCATAGTAGTTCGTCTCATTGAATCTGATATTGTTGTTCGATTTGCTAAAAATTTATCATGAGGATTTTTTTGTTGAAAATAATCCGAAGTTTGTTTTATTGATGGAACAATATCAGGTGGTACTGAAGATACTTTAATAACAGAAATACCTTCATTTGTAATTGATGATGTTGTTGTTGCCATCATTAATTGTCTTAAATTATGTGTCCATTCAGTTTCATAAATAGGTGTTGGTATATCTGATGTTGATGTATTATTATTATTATTATTATTATTATTTGTTGTTGTTGTTGTTGATGTTGTTGGAAGAACTGTTTCATAAATATTTGTACTATTTGAATTTGTTTGATTATTATTATTATCATTCTCAGATGAAGATATTCGAGTTACATCAATTGATACAATAGTTGGTGGAATAACACGTTCATGTGGAGTAAAACGACGTAAAATATGTGCACGATCATTTGTATTTTTTATATAAGAAAATGGACGAGAACATACGCCTAATTAAATTTATAATATTTAATTCGAAATAAATTCGATTTCTTTTTCTTTTTTACCTTTAACAGATGATGAAGGAGCATTATTAGTCTTATCAATATTTATATTATTTTTTTGTGATGGATTACTAAGATCATTTTTTACAGTTGGAACTATTTAAAAACAAAAAAAAACAAACAAATATTATCAACAAAAAACCTTTTATTATTAGATTTACGTTTGTTATCGTTTGATGATGTTCCTGATCCAACAAATGAACGAAATGAACTACATGGTGATATTGGACTAACAAATGTATCAATTGTTGTACAACTTGTATCCATATTTGTATTTGATGTTGTCATAGCCTTACTATTGATTAAATGTGGACATGAATCATATAACTGTGAAAAATCAGCTACATCACTTGGATGTCGTCGTATAAATGCAATTTTTTTTGAATCACCATTATTTGATCCATCTTTATGTTTTAATTGTTGACGTAGTTTATATGATGAATGTCGACGATTATGATGATAACATAGACAACATGATTTTGGACATAAACAACAATAACAACAACAACATGATGTAGCTAATAAAATAATTAAGCCAATAATTGCAATAAATAATAATAAACCAATGATACCATAAACAAGATAAGTATCAAATAAAGCAGATGATGTTGAAAAAATAAATTGTTCATCCATTATGATAACTAGATGAAAAAAAATGTAAAAGTTATCACCTCCAGTTCTATAATAAATATATCTTGAAATGTCTCATGTATATATATATATATACATGTATAGACTACTTCAATTTTCAAGTGAACGGTGAAAGAAAAAGAGCAACATATGTCATTAAAGATGTTGATGAGAGAAAGAGAAGAAAAAGAGTATCGAATACTAGGTTAGAGTCACGTCTACATTTGTATGAATAATTGGAGCATACAAACACAATAAATGCTCGCACGAGGCAATGTTTACTTATGGTGTGTAGAAGAATACATATCGATCTCATATGAAATATTTTCTTTTTAATGACTGACACAAAATAAAATCGAATTTTTCGATTAATTCATTTAATCTCAGGGTTTTTGTTTTACTTGCTTATATTTTATTTAAACTTGGACACGTGTATAACGGATATAGAAGTTGAATATGCATCTCAAGATATAACCATCATTTCGTTTCGTTTATTTTTCATGGTCAATCATAAAAAGAAAGAGTAACTATAATAGTGTTATATCACATACAAATCATTTTCTTTGAATTATGTTGAACAGAGTAAAAAACAAAAAAAAAAAGAAAAAGTAATCTGTTATGTATACATACATCCACATCGATTTATACGTACTATTTATGTTAAAAGCTTTCAAATGAATTTTTTACGCACGATAAATCTATTTAATGTATATTTAAATAAGAATATATTAGATGGATTAATTATTTTAAAGTTTAATCTCATTGAAATGTTGTAACAGTTAGAAATATAATTGAATTCATTTTCAAGGTAAAAATAAAATAGTTTATTTCAATGATATCTAATTTATTTTCTTATATGAAATCAAAATATTTTTGTATGATATCATCTTTATCTTCATACATCGATATCATAAAGATTCATTTGAAGATTTAACAGTATATATATAGGAATAAGAAATCAATATCAGAATAATGTACTTACATCTATTGTATGTATGTCTACTATTGACTTTATCGAATGACGGCAATATATAGACAGTGCATGATGATGATGGATGTTAAACTATTTCCCTGTACATATATCATGGTAACAGTTCAAGCCGACAGTATCTAATCCTCTTCCTTACTTTAGCTCTTTCGAAATAAGAAAAAAAAGTGAGTGACCGACGATCAGTCATTCTCGTCGCCCATCTGTTTGCTTGACCTTTTAATTGAGCACACAATAAAGCAGCCATTGTGGACATGCTACTTATACCTTCCGTAGTGTATATGTCCATGTGTACTTATACGACGTTAAGAGAACTGAAAAAAAAGTAGCTACTCAATACGGGGTCTCCTCCTGCAATTGTAGGAAACAACATGTAGAAAGAAAGGCGTATTATACTATACTGTATATACATATCGCTTCTCGCTTCACTTGTTTTTGTCTAACATTATATAAATCAAAAAAAGAAAAAGACATCAATCACTATACATTATCATCCTTCTTTGTATATACATATATAGGTATTGCAATACAAACTATCATATCGGTTGATTATTCTAAATAAAAATGGCGTCATATGATGATAATGAAACTGGTTTTTCTGAAAGTGATATACATTTTGCTCGTAACACATTTTTTCGTGATTGTCCAAATGGATATTGTTCGAAACGAAAATTTCTAACATTTATACGAAAATCAGCTACAAATACATCAATACAAAAACCAACCCTATCAGCAATACTTTTTCAAACATTAATATCAAGAGAAAATTATCGACAAAGTAGAAAATTTTTTTCTATGATGTTTAATATCTATGATCGAAATCATGATGGACAATTAGATTTTAATGAATATATTTATGCACTATCAGCATTAACTGGAGCTAATCGTTTACGTACAATTGAAACATTATATAATTTTTTTGATATAAATAATCAAGGTTATATAACACGATATGAATTTAATTCACGAAAAAAATTAGCTGCACAATTTCTTGGTCAATATAAAACTGGTATTAAAGATATTTTATTATATGAACAAGCATTCAATACAATGGATGTAAATAAAGATGGACGAATATCTAAAGAAGAATTTATTCAATGGCATTTACAAGATCATTTAACACCAGATGAAACTAAACCGGTGAAAAGACGTACACGTATTTTAAAAAATTTATCAACTCTAGTCGACATTCGCGGTCAAATCAAAACGTCATCATTACAACATCGAGATAATACTAATAATAATAATATTAATAATAAAAATCCAATTGATGCTTGGTTAGAAACAACAATGAATGCAAATAATAAATTTGAGTATGATTCTTTTTTATTTATTTTCTTCATTTAATTTAATTTTTTTTTCTTGCATATTCTAGTCTCTCTTCAGTATCACCCTTACCAACATCAATTAATAATGATCGATATTTATTAAAAGTAATTCGTCGAGCACGAAATCGTTTCGTTCCACATAAAAATACACTAAATGATAGAATGATTAATATGAAACAAATCTCAATTGATAATCAATCTGATTCAGGTGTATTTACTTTATCATCGAGAACAAATTTTAATGATGATTTTGAATCAAATAGTTTACTTGATATTGATGAAAATTATCCAGAATCAAGTAATATAGATGATCCAGAAGATAAACTTCTATGTCAATCATTTGAAAATGTTCTAATGAAAACATTACTTGAATTAAACCAATATGGAGAACGACGATCAAATAGTAATGATATTAGTATTACCGTCGATGATCAATGTCAAACAATGATAACTCGTTTCTAATGATTTAGTTTTTGTAAATAGACGCGAATCCAAATTATTAAAATCGACTTTAAAGTCGATTGAAAAGCTTGAAGAAAGTTGAAAAATTGTAATTTTTTTAAATTTTCTTACCATTAAAATAAATAATATAGTTCAGCTTTTCAATTATTTCTCTCTATCATTGTTGTTAGATTTCATATTTATTACTATAGATACATCTTTAATTACTTAACTTATTCTGAAAGTTCCAGTTCTATACAATGAAAATTCATTGAGAAAAAATATAAATATATCTCATATACTAATATCACAGTTTTCCTTTTTTGAATAGACTTTTCAAAATGTTGAAGAAAAAAAACCGATGAAAGAGAGATTCATTTATTACCGGTTAATGTTATTGAAAAAGAAAAAACAACATAAAATGCAACAAGAAAACAGCAAATTTTGGTTTCTCCGCTATATCATACTGTAAAAAAAGAAACGGCACGAAAAGAGTTTTATGAAAATTTGATGAAGATATTAAGCCTTTTTCGTAGTGGTTTATTATTCTACGTTTGTTTTTTCATAGGGCAGTATATTAGTCATAGATATATTTTTCTCAACGAATTCCCATTGTGTAAAGTTGAAACTTTTTGAATAAGTCTAGTAATCAATGACATATCTGGGGTACAAATATGAATTATAGCGACAATAGTACAGTGGAATAATAATAGAAATAAAAGGTGTATCATTTATTTTAGTAAAAGGACTATATCTACTTTTGTAAGGTTATACATATCTATCGCATGATCAATTTGCCATTACATGTACAACATGACATTTTTGCAGTTGCGCTGTATATGACTGGTATGAATATAGGTCAAATTTTGATGGTGTTGTAGATTGTTTTATAATTAGGTATTGGACTTTTTGTAGAAACACTTTATTTAATGATTGTTTATTATTAGAAATCGTCAAACGATTGATTTTATATTGTATATAAATTAACTTTCATTTTTGAAATAAATATTTTATTTCTTAATGAACTTTGAATAGTTGTTTTTTATTAGATTTTATTGTAAAAATATTTTCATTGTGATTTATACATTTATTTAAATAAAGATTAAAATTTATATTATTGTTACATGATTATGAATCATATCTCTTTGAAAATGACTCTTTTTGACCTTGAATAAATATATACATATTTTTTCTTTTACGCATGAAAGACTCGAAATTATGTATACAATGTTTTTTTATCTAATTAGATTAACTGACTTGATCAAATGAGTACTGATTGCGGGCGCAATGATCTACAATAGGTAACTTTCGCATAAAGTGTGGGAGTGTCATTTTAATGGTGTGAAACGGTGTTTTAATTGTTCAGAAGTGATTATATATGAAGTGGCAAATTATCTTTAAGAAAACAAAAACATTTTTTATTAGAAAATATACTCTATTGCACAGTATCAGACGTAGTTTTATGTGCTGATTGTCAATATAGGCATAGTTTTGTACTAAGACGATGTTATTTTAAAAACAAAAATGTGGATCTAGGAATAGAACACTAAGGTTTTTGGAAGCCATTAACTTAGTCGATATTCACTGACTCTATTTGATGCTATAAGCAACGCTGGATGTCACATGAAGAAATATTCGTTGAAGGTTTGAACGCAGTTGAGCTTTAGTGAATCGTAGCATTTACAAAATCTAGAAAGCTACTTTTCGGGAAGACTTTTAGACAAAAAATAGATGCTACACATGATTCTATGGTAACTTACCAATCTGATTCTGAATATCATCTTGCTTTTGCATTAAACTGATATCTCATTTGCAAAAATACAAGTTTCGGGGAAACAAGTCTTAATTTTGCTAGATCAATAATGCCGATTGTACTGATTAGTTCGAAATGGTCTTATAATCAACGATGAGCGAGATATGCATGAATAATTAGTGAAAGCTTTATCTCAATCAAGTTAGAACTCTTTGAAATTTTCAAAAAAATATGGTATAGTAGATTTTTCAACCTAATTTAGTTTTTCTAATCAATTTTTTTTTCTATGCTATTTCTGGTTCGATAGAAATTATTTTTTGTTTATACAATGAAGCTTATGAGTCAATTATTTGTTTCGGCTAGTTTTTCATTTTAAAATATTTTGACAAGTTAACAAAAGAAATGATCGCCATATAATTACCAATTTAAAAAGAAATTTTAATGATGGACTCTTTAGAATTCGAGTTGATTTTGAAACTTTAGCTTTGGGACAAAATAGACTAACCACACATGTATTCATTTCAATATTTACACTTTGAAAAATAGAACTCTCTACTAGATCTAACTGTTTGCCCAGTATGCGATGAAGTGATAGACTAGTGGTCCACCGTTATCGCTGCATTCTCAGTACTGATAGATCCATTTGGCGTGATTTATATGTATCTAATGCTTCTTTTAATAAACTCAATTTTTTTTTTGGAATATAAGAAATAAGTATTTTTTAACAAATCTTTTGAAATGATTTATTGATGATTTCAAGAGTATAACCGTTGAACAGAGAAATTTCGATAGAATAGAAAGAAAATATTTCGAAAAATAATTCGCTCGTTTTAACCGCATTACAAATAAGATGTATTATTATTATTAGCTCACATAGGATGATGCAGAGATCCAAACAGATCAAATTTTCGTAGACCTGATTCAACCATGACAGGCTATCAACTTAGTCAATCTGTTTGGATAGCCTGTATATATTCTTTTTAAATATTAATATCATGATAATAAATGAATTAAAGCAGAGAATCGTCTATCTAAGAAGACCAGGAAGTCATGTATACCAAAATGGTATGACTATGTGGAGCATTTATAGATTTAATACAGTCTCTATCTGTCAAGATTAGACTAATAGAAAAACATCCATATTTACAAAAAACTATTATTGAATAAGAATATTTTGAATGAAGTAGATGAACTAGTTGAAAAGGACACACTCACACCCTTATCCTTATAATAATCATATAAATATAAATTAGGACAAAATATGATTCAGTAAACAATTCATCTAAGAAAATAATAATAATCGATTAGAAAGTACGAACAGCGGTTTAGTAAAATGTGGAAACTAACTAACTAAATAAATAATGTACAGTGAAGTCATAATCTACTATTAGTCATGATTGTGTCTAGTCAAAATGATAAAAAGAAGTTTTTCTACTGATTAAACGATCTATCTGGTCCATGACAAGCTCGAAAATCAAAGCCTGTGCCTGTTTTAAATAGAAAGATAGACTCGATGCTCTGTTTCTAGCTCTAGGATAAATTATATTTTTCAATATATAGAGTACAAAGAAGTATGACTCTGAAGTAATCAAAGTTGGATCATTTGAGAAAGTGAACAATTTACAACTGATTGAAGCATTTATTGATGTAGGTCATGTTCAATCTTACGAATAAAAAACACAATATTTATGATTTTTTTCAATAATAGATCTTCGTTGAATTATTTGATATATTTATTCTTGTGATAAATAATAAATACAAATACCAATGATACTACTATTAGATTTTAAATGCTATTTTTTGCTTTATTATTGTTGAATAAATATATGTGAAATAGTTTTAAACTTTAGAATACCTAAAGGTTTTATGTTTAGTGATCATGTAAGTTTAAAAATACTGATGTTAAAATACAGAATGCTCTTATTCCTTGACTTACTGAAGTATTCTTATTTACAATATGGTACATGTCTTTATAATTGAAGGAGGTTTTTCTATTGCATCTCAATCATGTAGATGGATTCAATCCATTTTTGAATACGATCGAATCAGCATTTAGTTCAATTGAAGAGTTTTCTTTGCTTGCTTCATTTTATTCTTGTATATTTACAGTTTATCTATCGGTTGTGTTCAGTCCATCTAATTTCATTTCTGACATTTTGAATGACATGAAGATTTTATCAGGTTTACTTTTTTTTTGTTTAAAATAGTTTTCATTTTATTCATGATAAACTAGAATATGCGAGAAAAAAAAACATATAATAATTCATTTTTAAAAAGTTTTTCTTAATATAATCAATTGAAATATTTGATATCTAACAGTAACAGAACATTTTCTTCTTTTTTTTTATTTTTTATAAAAATCGAAAATCAAAACTACATTTTAATGTAGTGTAATTCATTTATAATTTTATCTCTATTTATGAAATATAATTTCAGTATGATATCTCTATTTTAAATGAGAATGTTTCCTTTAATTAATAAAAATTTAGTCAACAAACTATTAAACATACGGAATTATATTGTACAACAATATAATATATATATATCATGCTAACATAAGAAAAACATATGATATTTTATATAATGTGTTCTTTAGTTAAGACATAATTGACAGCTTCTAATACATCGGATTGGATTGTTGTTGGTATTGCCCATGGTCGTTTTGCATTAATCGTATGTATAGTTGGATCATATACACCCGTACAGACTAGAATGGATTCACATGATTTAGCACTTAATAGACGTGGATGAGTTAAAAGTCCACATCCTGTAAAACTACCATTCGATGATTTAGGTCTTTTAAGTAAAGCATTATAGAGATTAGCACCAACGACATCAACTACAGGATTATCTCTAAAAATACATTGAAAGAATTTAATTAGTTGAATAATATTCTTATAATCATATAGAAACATACCCAATGAAATAAATCCGTTCAATTTCTGGTTGACCTTTAGCACGAGCTAATTTATTAGCCATCATTTCAGAATATTGAAATGAAATTTCATATGGTTTACCAACAAGTGCTGTATACATTAAATCATTACTACTGTGTTTCTAAACGATAAAATAAAATAATCTATATTTCGATAATAAATAAATAAATCCATACATTGTATAATGCTTCAAGACATGTCAAAAAAGCTCCATGACTAAAACGAGCTATATCAGCAAAAGCCCTGAATACCAAATCTTTATTACATGCAATGATCGGTATATGTGGACCGATCCCAGTAGAATTGGCTGCATCATTTGGATTACCATGATTTAGGAGAATATCTGTAATAAGTTGTAATGATGTTTCCCAATGAATAGGTTCACCAAGAAGTACAACCGCTAGAATAATCAATTATCATATCAATAATATAGAAATATAAAACGTCAAACAAAAAAACAACAAAAAGATACCGTCAATGGGACGAAAATCTTTACTATGAATAAGATCTTGATTTTTTATCATTTCACACTATGAATCAAAATAAAATTTATTGAAATATTTAAGAAACTTAAAATAATATTTTACTAATTTAATTCGATGTGTATGATCGATTATATCTAATTCGGGAAAAGCTGCACATAATTTGTCAATAGTTGTTATGTTTTTAAAACCAACTCTATGAAAAAAGAAATCAAAATATTTTTTTATGAAAATAAAAACGAATAAAAAAGATTTCTTTTTTACGTTCGAGCAATTTCTTCAATTTCACCCTGTCCACATATCAGCACATGTTTGTTATGATATTCATCTAGACAACGCATGGGTGTATGAGCCGAAACAACCTGTTTAGGAAGAATCTAAATATTATCGAAAATTTTTCATGAAAAAAAAATTGAATTATATAACAGACAACAAAACGTACAGGAACTTCGAGCATATTTGACAATTGTTCGGCTTTTTCTGTTTCCAACATACATGTATTAGAAACAAATATATGAGGAATATCATATTGAACCAATTTTTTGATAGCCAATTTAGCAGCAGGAATGACATTCGATCCTTTGGTTATAACACCATCCACATCAAAGATACAAGCAAAATTTGACTAGAAAATAATTTTAGATAATAGAAATATATATATATCAAATTATTTAATCCTACTGAATCTTTAGACATTGTTTAATTATTTTATTGAAAGGAATAACTATTATATTTAAAATTATTCAATAAAAATTTATTGTGAAAGCGTTTGTCTTCTATGTTGGAATGAGTTGATTAATAGTTATTATCGTAAACAGAAGAGAGGTATCGTGATGAAGGATGTAGAAAGAAATGACTGTCGTATGATAGAAAAACCATATTTTTAACTTTGTATTTGTGAGTACAATGACTAAGTCGTATTTTTTTTTCTTGTTAAGTACATTGTTTATCGGGTATTAACAGCAAAATTTTGTATTTAGGTCAAGTTTATTGACGCTGTTACACTTTTCATTCAAATTGTTTTGTTTTGTTCTATTTTTAATATCTAACAAAGTCGGCATCACTTTTTTTTTATGTGAAACTACTCATTCCTTTTCTTGCATACTGTTCTCGATGATTCAAATATGTTTGAAGCTTAAATGTATACAGACAAGATTGGTCTCTTATCACTTTACAATGCGTAGCAGGAGAACGAAACGTCAATACAAAATGATGGGAATGTGATTATCTGGTGAATAAATCGGCAAGCTATATAAAAAATTTATCTCTGCTTCAATGCCTGTGAAAAGAAAAAAACGCACATATTCAGGATTCACATAGTAACAATGTATACTTGTATTCAAGGTTTCTAAATAAAATATTTGTTTAAGAATAAAAACGTTTTTTGTATTCTACTGAAATACTTTAATAGAATATTCGAAAAAAAAATCATATGATATATAATCGATTCTTCGAATTCGATCTATCCAATAAACATCAAGAGACTATTTATCATTTAGGTTAAAAAAAAGAAATCAAAATTTTTTATGGATTGTAAATTATATTGATGTTAATATATGATCGAGACAAAACAATTTAGGAGATTGATGACATTTGTTGAGTCGTCCCAGTATGAAAGAACAAAACAACAGTAGAAAATAATAATTGGGCATTTTGGATGCTTTATTTTTCAGTTAAAAAAATATAAGATTGACAGCTTTCTTTTTAAAGGCACTATAGTATAAAACGCGAGCTTTTTAAATATAACATTCAAAAACTATGTACAAATTCTTCATTTATCTACAACCAATGTAGTATTTTGTATTGATTACTAGGAATAGAACAAATCGGCAAGAGTTCCGATATGAGTAACTGTTCAAAAGTTTTGTTGATAGGAACTGATCTTCGGAAAGTTCTTTGAGCTGAGTTGTCTAAAAATTTTTGGTTTCCAGTAACAGAATAATATATTTTAGGAAAAGTCAGTTCTGATCCAAAGAATTTTTCAACAATTCTTTAGTTTATTTGGTTCGAACTTTTGAGCTGCAAACTGTCTTAGGCCGATTTATTGTAAGCATTAAAACTGATCAAAAAAGAAGCACCAAATTATAGAGGAGACAATGATCGTCTCTGAATTCAAAATTAGCACCTTTTGTATATTATTTATGTAATGAATAACTTTTTTTTCAGTAATATAGATCATATCAAATCCACATTCATATAATTTAACCCTAGATTAGTACACTATTTGACTTGAGATTAATTCATTGTTCTTTTATTCTTTTTGTTTTATCACCCGTTCTTATAAGAAACTGAATTGAGTGTTTTATATTTTTATACGCTATATTTGAATAAAAAAAAAAAAGTAGAAATGGATTATTTCTTTCAATGATATATATTTTTTTTACTTATTATTTGTGAATTACATTCACCTTTTGTTTAATGATAACTTTTATGCATTCAAATATCTAACATCTTCAAGTATAATAAATAAATAAATAAATAAATAGAAAAAGTAAAGACAATAACCTGGCTGCTCTGTTGAATGGTGAAAAACAATGAAAGAAAAGCAGATGCTTCAAACAAACCTAAAATTTAAATTGATGTAGGGTGAAGTGTGAGTATGGATGGAAACGAAGAGTAGACTAGCACTCATACACGCACCCTTATACATTCATTGATCTTTCAGTAGATGTCATACTTGCATATCTCCATTTGTTTGTGTACCTCATTCGTATCGCTTCCGATTCCTACAGGGACATAGTTCAAAAACATTAGATGTATCGTTCGTTTTGGTGTGAAGAATATTATCACTTAGAGTATTTCCAAACTCAGTACATTAATACATTAACTATATTCCCGTGTTTTCAATACTGGATGTGGGTGTGGGTGTGGACATGAGAGAAGAAGAGATACCCACATCGACACCCACACCCACACTCTGAACTTGCCTTACGGCACATATCGTTTTTTTGATATTCAATATCTCAAGAAGAAAAAATTCTTTTGGACTGAAATTTTTAGGAGTTTCTAGTGATCATAAGATCTATCTATAGGCAATATTTCATCATTGGATTTGTTCATATATGTCTTGTCTGAGGCAGAAAATACAGGAAAACGATCGTAACTTGAGAAGGATGACGTATGGGAACGAATCGTTCTAGACTTCTTCTGGTCTCACTAAGGCCTGCTTGTGAGCAAAATAAATGCTTGATCAGCACGTCACACTTCGAGATCTTTGTTCGAGAATTTTTTTTTTCAGATGAAAATATCTCAACATAGAAAACAAATCTCATGGCATGTAGCCTTTCATGCGATAGTTCAGTGTTGCCTCCATCACCAATAAAAATTCCATGTCAAATTGTTTTTAGTTCGTCTGATTTATGAAGTAATCTTTAGGTAATCTCTACATAAGAGTTGATGAGAAACGTTGATAAGTGACTGACATCTTCGGCTAATTTTAACCATTTGTCTTGAAAGTTTCTTTAGTGAGTGCCCTGCTCTAATTAAATTTTCCTTCAAAACTTCACAATTGCAGCCATCGATAGAGAACAAATCCATGCTGAAACTGTACCAGACAATGGAGGCTTTGTCATGCTTCAAGATTAAAACTGATTGAAATACCTTATCTGTAACACCATGTAGATATGCGAGCCTGTATTTGTTAATAAGAAAACGAAGATTAACGCATATAAACAGTGGAAAACCAGAAGTGTCAAAAAAAGCCCTTTTTTGGATTATTGAGCAAAAAACCAGTGTTTTCATCGTAAATACTTTGCTTTAAGACCTATCGACCTCAGATTGCTAGTTACAACCAGAATTTATCGAGCTCTATTTGTAGTCAAACTATCAGACAAAATGATGAAAGTTTACGTAATTTTTACTCGATAGCGAGATTTCTGGCGACTGCTATACATTTATCTATTAATGATTGGTTTTAACTTTTCATTTTAACCGAAGATTATACATTGTATATAGTTATTTGTTTTTTTTTTGCTAAAAAGATAAACCGGACATTTCCATATACAAGAACAACAGAGCACAATGACTACAATAATAATAAAAAGAGTTCTTTTAATGAGCATTATGCGAAATAAAAAGTGGGCGATATTTAGGTGGTGGTTCAGTTGTTTTTATTGATGATGACGATGATGATGGTAAAGTTGGTAATTTTTCTTGATCAACATTAACATGTTGTTCGATTCCATATCGAAATGCACATTTTCCTGTCATTACTGTTCGAACTGATTGTGTTTGTTCGTGAACTTCAAATTGACCTGGACTTGCACCAGTGCCACCTGTACGTAATGATTCAGCAAATATTGTTGCTAAGTCGCCTTCCATATATTTATAATAACCACCTGTATTATTTCGTGTGCTAATCATTGCCGATATTCTTCCACTAAAACGTACTTCAACAGAAAAATCAGCTGAATATTCTTCTTCAGTAATACATAATCTAAGTACAAAAATCAAAATTATGCATGAAATGATATGAAAAATAAAATAAAATTTTTTACTCAGCATTCGCTTTTGAATGTGGTGCAACACGAATAGCTGAATCAGCTGACCAAGTCATTTGTGTTTCAAATGTTGAATCTCTTCCATAATCAACACGTTGTTCATGTCGAAGACCACCACTTACTTCTAGAACTTCATTTGGTAATTTAAGTGTTACACAACCTTCTTTTTCTTTTGTAAAACCACGCATAAATGTAAAATTTAATGTTGTTATTGTTGAACGTTCAGCACGTAATGAATATTCTTGTTCACTTTCCGTATTATTTGAAAAATTTGTTCGAAATAATATTTGAGATTTTGGCATATGTAATTGATTTGGTCGAGTAAAAACAGCTTCCGATTGCCAAAAATTAACACGTTTCCAATTTAATTTTATATCAAGTTCTTCACGACGATATTTCGAATCTTCTCTTGAACGTTTTGATAATTCCCACATTTTCCATACCTAAAACAAAAAAAAAAAAATACAAAATATTGTTAGACATATCAAATTCTTTTCTAATTAATTTCACATATGCATTCTTAATTTTTCTCATGAGAATGTCTTATCTAATACTATGATGTATAGACAAAAAAAAACGATAAAGATGTGTCTATTATTTTGGTTTCAATTAAAACATCAACTGCTAGGAACCAAATAAGTACGAAATTTAAAAAAAAAAAAAGTGTCTTCGATAAATGAATAATGTAATAGTATCCTTTTTTTCCAATATATAGTCTAAGATTGATTTAAGAAGGAGAAAGTGATATGACACCTTCTTAACATCTCCTATTTTCAATGAAACATTTCATTCGTCATGAAGTAAATATGACACATCGTTTCCTTGTTAAAAGCATTTCAGAGCACATTTCCGTTTAAGCGTAAAAAATGGATATAATGATTCTTTTTTTTTGAACAATCACAGAAATATTCAAAATAAAATATGTCACATCTTATGATGCAATTCATATTATTCAATTATATTTAATCTATGAGCTATATATTGTTCTATATGTACACATGCTGTGTTCTCTATTTCTTTTTTTATACTGTATAAAACAGCATGAGATGTCTTTCAACTTACCCATTTTTCAATGATTTCATCTAAATCGACAATTGTTTTACTATGCGGTGCAGCATCCAAACGATCTTTGATTTCTTGTCGTTGAAGAGTCATTGGCTATCAGAAAAAAAACGAAAAAAAATACCACATCAATATACATAAGTTAAGGAAATCATCCATCAAATACTGAACACTAAGTCGGACATCGAATCAATTTACAATATGCAATTCCACACGAAACAAATTAAGCAGAAATGATTTACAATCGGTATGTTTTATTTTAGTCATAATCATGCATGATGGATGTGACGGCGGCATCCATAGTGCATCGAGGTAGAAAAACAAACATACAATATTCTTTTGCTCGAGGAGAGAGAGAGAGAGAGACAGCAAAAAAAAATCACATGTGCCTGCGATTCAGCTGGTTAGTCTCGTTCCCTTTTTCTCGATACAATGAGTTTGTTTAGACAGTGAAATTAGATCGACTCATTCTAATACAGGTGTATACATACATATATATATATGTACATGAATCGATACACTACTCGAAAGGGCATACTTGAGACTAGTACAACACATAACGATTCACTACTTCAGTAAATGATTATGATTCAGTTGAAGGAAAAATGAAATTTAATGATTGATTCATTGCTCGGTTTTCTGTTTCAATGGATAGATAAATACATTCTTTATATATATATATATATATATGAAAAATTAATCTTGTCTCATCTTATTAGTATAATAACTCAAATGAATTCTATTTTCATTATGCACTTTTTTGTCTGATTTACATAATTATAAAATAAATAATTTATCTATATTATATTTTACTTACACTTTTTGCTTGAGTATTCAATACTGGATGATTGTATATAAGTCTGTCCGTTGTTTTGCTCGATATATCGGTAAAATTAGTATTATTAATATTAGTTATACCTGACATGATGAAACAAAAAGAAAAAAAACCTCGTCTCTTTCGTAGCTCTGAGATGCCGTTTTATTTAATTCCCCTATCGCTGCTGCTTTTTTTTTACTGCGATCGTCGTTTCTGACGCTCACATATTTTTTCTTTTTTTTTTTTCTTTCTCTTTGGTTTACTAATACTATAGAATGTTACATTGATGACGAAACAGAAAGAGCGTAGAAAAAAAAAAAAAGAATAGTTTTAGACGCTTACATCCAATCGGTGACAAGCACCAATCGAGAACAACGGAAGGGCTCTTCCTTCTATACCATAAAAAAGAGAAAAAAAAACAAGAGGAAGACGACAAAGAAGCTTACTTATTATCTTTTTATCCCTTTCTCGGTCTCTCGTTGTGCAAATTCCAACATTTGTTTACTAAATTCGATATAACAAGAGCACGACCTCATTTTGTTAAAAGCTTCGTGTATGTCGCGTGTTTAACAACGATTACTAATGTTTATTGTCTCAATGGAACTAGCTCACTAAATTTTCTTTTTTTTTATAGCAAGAAAAGTAACAGTCATAGGGCAAAAAGTCAATTATTTTTCTTAATTCACATATGCTCGAAGCAGAATAATATATGCACGAACGATCGGTAGACTACAGAGTGAGTCAATGAATGTGACTAATCGGATTGTCTAGTGTATTATTAAAAAAAAAAACTGATGAGCATTGGAATATACTCTTACTAGAAAAAATTAGCTTTTCATAAAGCTGATTTTTATTTTTTTTTTATACTCGAAAAAGAAAATTTGCATTAATATTGAATATGAGAAAAAAAAGTAAAAATTTATTTTTATTGATAAAATATATAAGTCTCTTTTCTTTTGTTATGTTAATTTATTCTGATGAACAAACATCATTTTCATGATTATCTTCATGATGATGAGCTAATTTTCGACTGGTTGATTTTTCATGTGTATGTTTTATTTTCTTTGTATTTGTCTTCTTTTTTGAAGCACTTTTTGTAGAAGTTTTATGTATTGTATTACTTTTTGTTTTTGTACCAGAATGATGACGAGAAGAAGTACTTTTTCCATGTGTTTGTTGACTTTTTTGTGATTTTAATTCTTCTTTATTAGATACATCATGATTTGCTTTAACAGGAGCTTTAGCTTTATAAGATTCTTGTTGTTGAATAGATAATTTTCGCCATTCAGCTCCTAAATGTTGCATAATTTCTTTTGGTTTCATTTTTTCAAGATCATTTTTTCGAATTTCTCGTTGTTCAGCACAAAACATAAGATAACCACTTGGTTGTCTTTTACCAACAGTTTGTTTATTTTTATCAGTATGTTCACTTTTATGATTTGTCTTATGTGATTGTTTGGATTTTTTTGAAGAATTTTGTTTAACCATTATTTTTTTGTTTTGTTTTATATCAAATCGAGAAAAATGATATTTGATAAATGAACAAAAATAAAATACGAACAAAAAAAGATCGAGCAATTTCAAACAACAAAAAACAAATGATACAATGTTTCGCGCTTATTTATTATTATTCTTTACAACTTTAATATTGCTATCGCGATACATAGAAGGAATAAAAAAAACTAACCGCTTTCTTTGATAAGACAAAAAAATTTTTTTGACAAGTCATTATTTTTCATACTTGAACTAATAATAATTTTCTATCTACAAACCATATGTCTCATCTAACACCTAACTTATACATAGAACTAGCAGTAGATAATTCTATTCATTCGCCGCTTTTTCTTTTGCCTTCGGCTATCATCAATTTGCAACTTGCAAGAAGAAACAACAAGTACTCTTGAATCAATTTACAACTGTCTTCTATCTTCGCTTATTTTTCTCTTTGATCATCACCTAATCAGTAACTCTTATGACAATACTTTCTATCTCTTTAGCCGGATGTGCTATTTACATAAATGATATATAAAAAAAAAAAAAAAAAAGAAGCTTACCGAACGACCAACCATATTGATGACAAAAGCGAATTGATAGTAAGATGACAATAATAAAGAAAATCTAATATAAGAAAAAAAAAAGAAAAGATGAAGACACCTTATAAACGAGATAAAGAACAATGAAAAAGGATTAATATAAATAAATCTATACGAAATGTTAATGTTCAGATTTAGTTTGGGTGTTCTAATCTTCATTCACTAGTATTCAATCGTTGTGTAAACATATAATAACATGTATGAGAATATTTGTTTTCGCTAGCACGTCAGAAATTAATCATATAGTTACCAATTGACAGAGAAATAGAGATGTGATTAAAAAAAAAAAAGAGTTTCTTGCTTCTCATCGACAAATGATGATAGGAAACTTTCATTAGATAAACACAAACATACACACATACGTACACAAGGATGATGAGTCTCTAGCCAGATGGTCGACTGATGATTGGAATCTATAAAAATGATGGAGACGCATGACGAGAGATAGACAAGAGCAAGCAAGTGTGTATACGTATACCCAACCCAATCTGCCATCAATGTATGTATATATGAGAGTGTGATTTATGGGAAATACTACGCGTGCACGCGTCAAACTAATAAGATAACAAGGCACTGGAGACAAGAGAAATATGAAGATGTACTACTCCTACTTGAATGTTCATGTGAGAATATGGAAGGGGTTCGTTTTTTTTCCTGTTCTTCAATGTACGCTTTCTATATATATATATATATATATATATCAATTATTTTCTCTTTTTCTTCAATTACTCATATGTATATTGAAATGATAACAGGTGAATTGAAATGAATATAACAATTTGATTATTTACATATGAAGATTAATAAAAAAAAATTATTTTCATGTAAAGGTTGTTGTATTCACCTGATCTGTTCGATTAATTATCATGATTCATTCACTTGTTAATACAATGCCTTTTTCTTTTTATAACATGTACTTGAACTTTTGGAATTATATGAGTAAATGAAAAAAAAAGAAAAAGAATTTTACTATTGACGTATACAATCTCCGCCTTGATTTATTTGTAATTAGGATCATGTCTCTTCACACATATATACAAGCTTATTTGTATGTTCATTCGTCTAGAGATGTATAGGCTTCATTTAAATTGATTAGATAGAAAAGAGAAAGACGATTGAAAATGAATTTCAATTGTGTTTGATCAGCTTTTCTCTCTCTCTCTCTATATATATTTTTATATTTCTATTTGTGCCCTTTTCACAACAAAGAAAAAGAGAACGTCGGATATATAAATTACACAAAGATGCTGATTTCACGATAGAATAACAATGATGACAATTGAACAGTTCAATAGAAGCCATAAATTAACAGAATCATATATTGACATAGATGGCTTCTGCAAACGAAGACATTCAGTAGCATAATTCAAAAAACAGATAAATATTTTTTTTTAAATTTTAATCAATAGAATACGATTTATTTCGTTTCTTTCATCTAATAACACATTTCATTTATGAAAGGTTGGTATCAGAGCAAATGAACAAAAAAAAAACGCCTTGTCAAATTAATGTTTAGTTGAAAAGATAAATGCGTAAAGCTTAAAGATTGTATACATTATATTACATGATGATTGATAACTATCTTTTGCATAATCATAACTGTAGTCTAATCTATTGAAATATGTTTTATTTTTGTATCTCATAAAATTCTTCTATATTGTTGAAGATAATCTTCAGTTCTCATTTCAAGATAATTTATTGTTTGAGTAATATGTTGATGTCTAAAACGAATTGATTGATTAATCTCATTTGTTCTATTTTACATCTATTGTGTTAAGAAAAAATCTCTACACTTTTTCTTTGTATTATTCAAGTTTTTATTATTATATGTCTTACTGTTAAATGATTTCTCTTATGAATGTCATCATATGTACTCAAGACCTTCTTTCAGACATTATCTACTGTTGTAAGAATATTGTCAACAATCTGATTCTATTTTGCCTATAGCCATGAGTTGTCAAATACATTAATTTTAATAATATCAAAGAAATGAAGTGGAATCAAATAACCAATTTTTTTGTATGTATATCGTTTTTCTAATGAAAAATGTTTTTTGATCGAAGATGTTCGTTTTTTTATTTCAAGCAAATCATTATTTCAATTATAAATTAAATCAATTATGTTTTATCTAATCTTAATAATATTTTTTGAGAGTCTATCCTCTATATCATTTTATATTATCATCTTTTTTTTATTAAGAGTAAATTTGAACATCACATAGAGTAAGGTTTAAAACAAAAATGTAAAGTTCAGTGTTTTTTTTCGCACAATTTTTCTTCGTTGACACCTTTTATGATTTATTTTGTTGTTTATGACATTTATCGATTTTTATTTTTACATATGATGAAGAGTACTAGTAAAATTTACTTTGTGATTCTAGTGTTTTACAACGTGTAAATTCATTATAATTAGAGCATAATGATGTTCCACAATAGTATATGCCAGAAAAAAAGCTAATTTCTTATGATTTGTAATACAAATACTATAATCAGTGGTAAGTATTGAACTTGATTTGATACTTCACAAAGCAAACACTTCATTGACATATTTTTTGAAACACAATGTAGTTCATAGAAGTGATTCATAAGTGTAATTAGGTACGAAAATATGATTATCATCGTAATGTAATGAATATCTTAAAAGATAATATTTGCCTTCTAAATCCTATTCTTTATCTACTAACCGTTGAAAACTCTCAAGAGTGTAAGTACTATGTTTGTTGTCGATAGGATAAAATATAGATGTTGCAGGAACTCTTTCTTTAAAGTGAATTCTTCTGTTTTAATTCTTTCTTCAATAATCAATCAATGTTGCCTGGGATCGTATCTATGATTTACATCAGCTATGTGCATCTTTTTTAAATAGTATTTGTGAATATAATGATGAAACAACAATCTTCATTCTCTGTGTGTTTGCATTAACTAGATCAGAAGACATTTTCGAAAGAAATTTTTGGTATGTTTTTGTTGTCTTAGTACATCAAATACGAAAGTTATCAAAGCTCTCTTATCGTTAGTTTTACATTGTAATGATTGATTTATACTATAATAAGCTGAATATGAAAGAAAAACAAGACTATATTTAGACCTTCGACAATGTATAAAATATTCCCAGTGTATATATATGGATGACAGAAAAGACTTTAGAACACTATTATGATGGTGAGAAATGATATTACAGAAAAATCTTTTTATAAAAACAAGAAGAATACTATGAAGTTTATTTACAGAATAGAATATTCATATAGTTATATCAATGTTTATAAGATCAGATTATCACATGAGACTTTCAAAATAGAAGTTTGTTTGTATCATCTCAAAGTATGACAAACCATATTGTTTATACCTACCAATGATATAGATTACTGTTAGAAATCTTAGATCATATGTATACTCTTAAAGTTAGCTAATAGTATTGGTTAACTTTACAAGACAAAAATAGTAGATCAATCTGAAATTTACATACGAAAGTCGTCAATTCGACAAAGAAAGAAAAAAAAATTTTCGAAATAACCAATTTTCGCGCTAAACATTTTCATCGATTCTTTTCTTCTGTTTCATATAAAGTCTTTTATGATTGATAAAACCTTATAGCCGATATTATATTCATATATTTCTTCTATTTTTACTTGTTTTTTTTAAATCAATTAGAAATGATTAATTCATGAAGTTTCACAGTGAAGAAAAAAAAAAGAGTTTTAAAGTCAACGCGATAAGTTACATCTTACATGTATCTAATAACAAAGACTTCAATTAAAGTCTCTGGAAAGAATAATACTGATTATCTATAAAAAAAAACTAATTGTCTTTCGACTCTGTTTTCCCTAGTTTAATAAAGATGATAACTAAGGAAAACAGTCATTTGTTATTCTAATTACATTTCAATATAACAATTTATTACAAAATATTTTGATATGATGATAATGAAACACCGATGAAACATTCAGCGATAAAGATTTTAAAATATGGAACTTCTACAAATTATTTCCTTCAAATTTAGATAGATTTAGTATTCAAGTTTATATCTCTGAAAATCTTGAATAGAAATTTGTTTGATAACAGATACAGGATGTCCCAAAAGTCCTTTCCACTTAATTTTTTCGTCTATCTCTGTTATTTAATTTGACTTTATTCAGTAATTTTTGTTTAAATGGCAGATGAATACATCAAGTTTTAATCTATATGAACAAACTTCAGAAGTACTGTTCAAAGTTAAGATCTTTAGCCGATATACAAAAAATTTAGATTATTTTCTATGTCCAGAAAAACATCCTGGATGATATCTATTTTAGTTGTATAAATTTGTGCTGGATACATTCAGTCCGTTTTCATGAAGACATGCCAAAATAAAATTCTATGGAAAAACTATTCAAGAATTGGAGAATTGAAAGACTTGAATCATTCAATAACCGAAAGTAATTAAAGAACCAATGTTCCTTACTGGTTTTTTGTGAAAATAGAAAACAATCTAAATTTTTGTATTTCAGCTAAAGATCTTAGCTTTGAACAGTACTTCTGAAGTTTGTTTATATAGATAAAAACTTAGTGTATTCACCTGTCATTTAAAAAAAAACAAATTAGTGAATAAAGTCAAATTAAATAGCAGAGATATACGAAAAATTTAAGTGAAAGGGACTTTTGGGACATTCTGTGTATATAACAAAATGAAAATACTGATGAGTAATACAAAAATTGAGTAGGTAAATAAATCAACGAAAAATAATGATTGAACAAACAAAAACAATTTATGCATTAACAAAAACACTCAGGAAAAAAAAACAACGACAAATCATAAAAAAGTGGAACACGGGATAAATAAAAGTATCACACAAAGTTAGCACACGTTCAATTATAAATATAAATTAAAAAAAAATATTCTTCGTTAAATAAAAATATCACCTTAAAACAATTATGTTATTCGACTTTTTCTTTGATTTAAAAAGTTATATTTACAAAAAATAAATAAATAAATAAATAAATATTCTATGTCCATGTAACAGTCGGAACGATACCTAAAAGAAAAAAGAAAAGAAAATAACAGATAATAGATAGGATCGACCTGATCAGAAGATTATCGGAAATGGTATATCATCTTTTCAACTATAAGTTTTTTAATGTTCTGTTAGTAGAAAAATATTTCTCTCTCTTAAAAAATAATCTTGATATTCATTAAATGATGACTTTTTGAAATTATCCTTGATGATTGATTGAAAATTCTTACCTTCAGGAGTATTTATACTAGGTAAATAGTCTTCTTCATCAAGAAAATAAAGTGGATATTCGACAACAAGACCTTGAATACCTCTCAATTTTTTTTGTGCCTTAAAATCAAAATAAAAAACATTATTCAAATATATATTTTCAATATATACTTGTATTGGATCAGTATCTTTCATCTTTGGCATATCATTATATTCAGCAATTTGATTAAATCTTCTAATACGATCAGTTGGTACGGTAGAAAAAACTTCTTCATAAATGAGTGTATTTTTTCTTGCTACATTTCGAAAATAATTATAAAATTCATCTGATACTGGATCAGTTATATCAATATTCTTTGGATTCTCGAATTGAATACCTAATTGCATTCTAAAAAATAAAAGAGTTTTTCCATAAAAACATAAATCATTGTAATTTTAATTTTGAAACATACGCAAAAAGTTTTCTTCGCCAACTAGAACAAAATTTTCCTACACGAACTGTTTTTCCATTAAATCGACCATCTTCTTCTTCACGATCATTTATTACAACACAAAATTCACTATCACGTTGACCTAGTAATGAACGATCATTTATATTTGCACTACCACATATAACCATACGATCGTCAATGATCATTAATTTTGAATGAACATATATTATTTCAGTTACCTAAATAATACAAAGAATAATTAAATTATATTATTAATGAAACTTCTTACTTACTAAACGACCCATAAGGATATCATGAGTACGCATTCCAAAAATACTAATATAATCATTTGGTGGAATACCTTAAAATCAAAAGTAGAGTAAGATAGAATATTTTTTTTCTTTCAATCATTAATCTATTTTCAATATGTTTCAGATCGACCTAGAGATGTCAATTCTAGCTGAAACCTTACCGCGACGATAGAAAATAAAAGTTCGTGCATCACTGCCGCGTCGCGATAAACTATAAAAAAAGTTGCTATTGCCACAATAGTATTCGAAAAAATGTTTCGTATGCCACTACTGTGACCTTACGGACCTAGAACTATTGTTACTAATCTATAAGATTCATCAAATCTCAATGTTATATTTGTGGACACTGAAATTCCGTGCAAATACATACAGTTTTGTATTGTCTTTCAAAAAGAAGCTGCTGCAGCAGCGATGGTTGTTTAAAAAACTTTTCGCTACCACGATGGAGATCTCTCGATCGATTAGTTCGTTTATTGGCGTATGAAATGAGTTCAAGTTTCCACTAGAATCTTTGATGGCAGTAAACGTAAATTATACCTGCAATTGGAGTACGAATATCATGTCGAAATTTGATAGTCAACATTTTTCATTTCTCGTCAGATCTATGGATAGTGGACAGTTGGATACGAGCATTATGTTGTTGCTTTCAAGCAGTCTACTATACTGGAAATTTTCCAATTATAACCAATCGGAAAGTGATAATTGTACTTCAAATAGAATTTTTCTCTTTCTTTTTAGCGTTGTTTAAGTTTTATATTTAATTATGTCAGCTAAAAGAAAGTACTAATCATCATCATCATCATTCAACAAGGTAGGTATGATTAAATATCTTCATATATTGCAAAATCGATTTTTATTCATTCTTTTCATTTTAAATAATTATAATTGTAAAAATATAGTCATTAAAAGTTTTCGACGAAAACACGACTATATCAAATAGAAGCAATATATTTTACTGGGTTTTAATAAAATCATTCATTTTGAATAGTATTACTTATACATTAATTTCCCGATGGCACGAGAAATCCACAAGAAAGTAAATTTATCTCATTTTACTTTTATGCTTTTCAAACTACTATGATTTCCATATTTTTTTACCCTTTAGTCCCTTTTGTTCTTTCAGTTTCCTAAGTCCCTTAGGTGCTTTTAGGTATGAGTGTGTTGTGCTTGTAGAGGATGAACGTGTTTTCTCCACCCACACTCAAAAGGATTGAAATATTCTTACGGCTTCAAGAGATGTGTAAACATAAAAGTAGAACGGGATAAAATTCATTTCTCATGGACCTATACGACTACCCTACCCTACAGGATAGGATAGGAATAAACATATTCCAGGGTACAGTAGGGTAAGGATTTAAAATTCTAATATTTGCAGTTATTTTCATATTTGATTCGATGATTTTCGTTTCTGTGTCTAGAATTTCTTTTCCGTATAATGTTAATTATGTACACTAATATTGGCTCTATGTTTTTAATTAAGTAATAAATAAATTATCTCTTGAGGAAAACTATTTTTAAAAGAGTCGTTGGTGAATTTATTTTACTTAGATCTGACCAAAAGTTCTATCATCATTAAATAAAAACATAAGGATAAGGAGATATTTTTAATTTTATTTCATCAAATGTTGAGGATAGTTGCCAGTATTATTTATTCCAAGATCAATCTTTTCTAATAATTAATTAAAAGTTTTTTTTTTTTTGAACTCTTTTTGTGAAAATTTTTTAGCTACCTTGGAAACTGCATGAGGACATCATGTTTCATTTATTTAATCAGTTAAACTATGTCCGACACAATCACTTAATCATAGATTACGTAGTATCAGATCTGGCGAATATGGTAGATATAACATTATATTGATGTCTTCTTCTGTCAAATAATTAATAACATTGGACGAGTATGAAGTCAACAATGATCGTCAAGCAATTTTGGACATTTGGAACCTGATGTCTTCGTTTGTTTTTATATTACATTAACGAAAAAGACTTCAGACAATTATCAATATAATACTTATGATCTACAGCCTGGCCTTTATCTACACTCAGGACTATTTGATTTAAAGAATATACCAAACAAAGTTTTGATTCAAATCTGTCTCCATGAACAATAGTCTTTGATGATTCATCTTCAATATGCCAATTAGCATTAGATGACTTATAACTAACCTATCTAAAATAAATCCATATCTCATCACTAGTAATACTAGAATGCAACTGACATAATCGAACAAAATTTCGTTAAATTTTTAAAACAAATGAAACATGATTAAGTCATACAGTTTCCAAAGTAGCTAAAAATTTTTTTCAGAAAAAGAGTTCAAAAAAAAAAACTTTTAATTAATTATTAGAAAAGATTGGTCTTGGAATGAATAATATTGGTAACTATCATTAATATTTGATAAAATTAAATTAAAAAATATCTCCTTATCTTTATATTTTTATTTAATGATGACAGAATCTTTGATCAGACTTAAATATTCTCATATCTGATATTAAACAACAAGAAAAATATCGATTTACCTGCTTTTTCGAGCCGTTTAAATAATGAACTATCACCCTTAGTAATTGAACGCATAATAAAAAATAGTACAGCCTGTACAGCATTGATGCTATCAAAACCAGGTAAAAGCGGAATAACAATATAAACACGAAATTTTTCATTGGATCTAATCAAATAACAATTTATTAAATTTTGTATAATAACGAATAATTCATACTTATGTGCTCGTTCTATACGTCGAAAAAGAGTATCACCCACTTGGTTTCGAACTTGTGGATCGTACCCAATAGTAATAAAGAATTGATTCTAAATACGAAATAAGAATCATAAATGATATTTTTGATTTTTTTTAGTAATTAGACCTGTGACAGTTCACAGTTCTAAGAACTGATTCTTTTTTGAGAACTGCTCACTAGTTCCTGTTCTTTTCAAAAGAACTGAATGAGTGATACTATTATTCGATCTAAAATAAAAGGCAAGTTACCATTCTTTTTGAATAACTTTTGATAGAAACAAGATAGAGAGCTGCGATTTTCACCATTCGAAAGAGCAATGTCCGGACCATCGATCGGTATAGAATTCATTAAGACGAAAGAAGCTTATTTCATAGGTACCTTTGGATCAGTTCTTTTTCCTTTGAATATTTTCATGAATTTTCATAATGATCTCAACTCAAATTATGTCAAAACGTAGTTCAAATCACCCTGTTTTCGCTATAAAATTAACATTCGTTTTTTTTTAAAATCCGCTTAGAATAAGAGGTTGAGCGATAATGAAATACGTGATAATGTTATAGCGAAAAAAGAATGATTTGAGCTATGTTTTGACATAATTTGAGTTGAGATTATTGCAAAAAATTGCTGAAAATACTCAAAGGAACAAGTATTAATCTAAAGGTACCTATAAAATAAGCATCTTTCGAATGGTGAAAATCGCAGTTGTCTGTCTTGTTCCTGTCAAAAACTATTCGAAAAATGTTAACCTGCCTTTTATTTTGAATCGAATAATAGTTCAGTTCCTTGAATGCAAACTGTCACAGGTCAACTATTAATCTACTTCAATATATATATAATATTTAGCAGCAGTAATCATTTGTATATAAGCATTGTGAATAGATGATTCAATTGTTCTCGTTCCTGCTGACCATGGTCCAACGGAACGAACACACTAAATATAAAACCAAGTGAAAATATTTTCTTCAAGAATATTAATTTAAAATACTAACGTACTTGAGCATCAACTTTAAATGGTTTACATTGAAGAAACTCTCGCCAATTTTTAACAGTTAAATCTTCTTCATCATCATAAGATTTGGGTAATAGAAATGGATAATGATCATTATTTAGATATTTTTCACACTTAGAAAAAGAAAATAGTGAAAGGTAAAAGATAAATATTTTTTTTTCCTTTGTCATCTAACTTTATGGATATTCCATCGTTGAATGAAGTGTCGTGCAACATCTCGAGCTATTTCACCAATTACAACAAGTGCTTCATCATGCCATGGCATACGAGGTACTAATTTTCGATCAATATAATCTATGTTACAATTGATATTAAAATACTTGAAATAAATGAAAAAAAAAAGAAGTAATTACCTTCACTGTATTTCTCAAGTGTTTCAAAATCTTTTTCATATACATTTGAATAATCTTTTCCAATAAAAAATTTCTGCTTTCTATCAATTTCAGATGATTGACCAATAGCTGATTGTGATTCTTCAGGAATATCTCCAATATCAGATCCATTACTGTTTTTTCTGACTCTCTAAATAAGTCAATATTTAGATTTTGCTTTAAGTTACGTTAAAAAGTTTGTCTACAACATTTGTGGTCAATTTTTATCTATTTATAAGACATTGAAAAGAATTTAAAGTAATCAGCTAGAATCAGCATTTCATACTCTTTTATAACCTGTACAAAACTCTAAATTAACAGATGCTGATAAATATGTATGCTCATTAGAAGTATCGTGTTAGAATTAGTATTAAAATTGTACTTGATACTTTGATATTATTTGTATTAAAATTAATTAATGCTGAGATGTTAGCATTAAATTAACATGATTTTAAATGCTAATACATAGATTACCGATGACTAGATCACGGACATTCTTAGCTTAGAAGTCCTCAAAACTGAATAATTTTGTTCAATTATTGGAAACTTTCGAATATAAACTCTCCGAGGTATAGTTGCAGATAGTATATGCATTAGAATTAAAAATAATGTTCTAAGTTAATGATAACAGGTTGGCATTAATTAATTGTAATGTAGATAATACCAATAGGCATACACTGAGCCTGAGTAGTTCCGACTTGGTCACACACTCTAGTCTAAAGTATGTAACCTGATATGTTGTTTCTCGATGCCGTTCTCTTCGAATGTTCTTTTATTTTCATGTAGTTATATGACTGATGTATCCTTTCACACTGTCTTTCTTTACAGAAATACTTTCTTCGTATAATCTTTTCTAATTAATCAATGTTTCTTAAAAATAAAGGAATATCAGTAGAGAAAATAGTCAATGTATATGTTAAAATTCAACATACTTCTATTGCTGACGTATAGAAACTACTGTATATGGAAGCAGACTCTTGGACTGTACTTTTTTTTGAATACATCTATTGTATTATAAGAATGAATTTCAAGTCGAAACAACGCAGCACTATTGACGCATAACAAAAAGAAAAAATACTGATGAGAAAGCAAACTTTAGAAAATCGACATTAAGATAAATCGAGACAGATCGACCGAGTTGGAACTACGTGGGCTCGGTACAAACCTAAATACCAAAGCATTCAGGTTAATTTTAATATCAATGTGTAATAAATAAGCATTATTCTAATACTAATGGTAATCCTGCACTTCTATTGTTTATTTTTCGGACACATAAATGTCATTGAAGAAGATCAAAAGCATTAATTTAGAAGCAGAACTCGAGATTCTTTCTAAATATATGTTTAGAACTTTTTATAGATTTACGGTTGGTTAGTTGTGAGCAAATATTGAAATCGAAAACATTGTTTACATTTAACAGTATAAGGTTTTCCTATCATTCATAACTTCTCTCGATGGAATTGCAGGATAATTTTGATTTTTTTGTATTGTAGAGAACTTAATTTTCTACACAATCATACATTACAGTAAGCTAGAATCCAAAAGAATCAAAATCTATAAACATCTTTCGAATATTGGTATTTCGAATACAATAGATTTTCATCGTTTATAGTAATATGTAAAAAGAGAAACTAATCGAGTATTTTGTAGAACAAAAATCGTTCTATAAACTGATGTATAAAAAGACTCTTTTCGGAATTTCGATTGAGACAATTTTGATCAAAATATAAGATTGACCTACATGAAAAATTCTGTACATACATCGTTATTTTTTTGACTTTAGTCAAAGGTTTACTCTCAATCAACTACCTTTGAATTAGAAAAAAATGATTCCGACTAAGTAGTTAACAAGGCCATAAAATTCTAATTCTAGCTGATTTACTTAAAATTCTCTCTAGTGATATATACGTAGATAAATATTAATCAGATATATTATACAACGACTTTTTATACACAGGTCATTTATTCTATTATTTACTTGGGCTAATTTTCGCCATTTTTGAGCATATTTAGCTGTTCGTCGAAGAACTCTTTGTTCATCATCCTCATAATACTTTCTTTGATCAGATGTTGCTGGTTTATCTTTTATATTTAAAATACAAAATCGATATTTAGATTACTTTCTCCTATATTAATTAGAGTTACATAGCAAAAATTACAAAAGCTTTGAAACGAAAAATAACAAGAACTATCGCATTTAATTATTCGTTTCGATAAAGCTAGAGTGAAAAAAATTATCTATGACATGCAAAATGATATTCATTAGAAGCATTGCACGAGCAACATTGATAAGAAGAACAAAATAGCATGAGTAAATGTAATCATAGCAATAGCAACAATATGATCATTCTAGCAAGTAAATATCGAATGTTACCTGTATTATATTTACAATCATATCAATCCAGCATCTTCTATGATTATTATTATTATTAGTTGTTGTTGTTGTTGTTTTATTTATAGCGTTAGTAAAAGACGTAGAATATTCAGTATTACCATCGTCTGATTCAGAATCACTTTCACTTTCATCTATTCCTATTTAAGTGATGATGATTTACAAAATAATAATCAAACATATAGAAACAAACAGAAGTTATTAAATTAAAACTACATAAAAAAAATGAAGAAGTCTATTATTTTGTTTTAGAATTATGTTAAAAAATTATAACAAATGAATGAAATCAATTGAAAGTTAGATTATTAAAAATAAATTCATCAATCTTGTGTAAAAAATAATACACTTATCAGTTTATATTTATATATGAGAACATAGAAGAATAGTAATCTAATTTAGAAAGATGATCTTTTAAATATGAACATTAGAGTTCCCTGGTTTAATTTTCTAATGAATAAGAAATAAACAACATTTTATTGTTACCTGTAAACTTTGATTCGAACCCTTTAGAATTAGAAAAAAAAATAATAGTGAATAATTTTAAAAAAAAACACAATGAAATATTTACATTTTTTAGCGACTGCTTTCATTTGAAATTCTGTTCTAGTTTCCTGAGTAGGTTCGTCCAACTTAATATCTTCACTTGCTTTATTTGGAACATCGAATATTGTTCTTAAACGATCACTACTCTAGAATAGATTCATAAATGTTATTTATACAAATCAAAAGAAATTTTTCTAGATCATAATATGTATTATACTAATGTTATTTTTCAATGAATAACATTGACATTTACTATTATGCTAAATATCCTTTCTTTTTAGCTTTTTTGTTTTTGTTCATTTGCATTTCCAATTGATGCTTGTGATTAAATATTTCATTGGTTTAATATTTCAAATTTTCTTTTTTTTTAACATATACGTATATAGAAGATTATTATTTATTTTTCTTATCTCATTCTTTTTCCATTTGTTTTCTTACCTTAATAGGTTTCTCACCAGCTTGTTCAGCCATTTGTGTGGTAGCCTTTTGTGCTGATTCAACTATTTCTGTTCCACCGGCCGCTACTTTTTCTGCAACTATGTCAAATGGTGATTTCAATGTTGTATCGTTGTCTGCACCTAAATCGACGAGACTGGAAATTAAAAAAAAAACCTCATAATTCTATATTTGATTCAACAAATAAAGGCCATAGAAGTTTGTTATTTATGTTAATTCATTTTTGATCATATTGCATTTAAATAATTTAAAAGACACAACTTTAATATGTATCTTTGTCAAACATCTGTAATCTTAGTTATTACTGCAATTGAATCTATGTCATGCTATGTTTCTACAAAGACTATTTTGGATCTATTTCATTAAACTTCGTACTAAAACGACTCGTAAGAATATCTTTCAAGAAAAATCATCGAAAATTATTCAAATAGTTTTGAATGATATATTTTTGTAAAATCTTAGTTTGTTTTCCTAAAACTTATATTAAATTATGCTAAATGATTTGTAGAAGAAAGCTCATGAGTTTGTTGTATAATAATTATTCAATGATCACTTGTCTACTAATCAGAATAAACAATTCACTGGAAATCATTCAATATCCATGTTAGATGTATTGAAAGCGTACTATCTACTGCGATTGTTTATAGTTTCTTACAAAAATTATCTTAAATCTATTAAAGAAAAATAAATGATCCCCATTACATGTGTAGGGATGCACAGTTTAGTTAACTGAATACCGACCGGGACATGAAATGGGCTGCGCAGCTTGGCCCAGAAAGATTTTTTCTCCGAACCGAACGAGTTTCGTCGGTGAAGATCGGACGAGCTTAGATTTTCGCCGAGCCGTCCAGCCTAAACTTGATTTCTTTTTTCGAAGAATCATTTTTCACGTAAGAAAGCACAATAAATCTGATTTTTCAACTTTGAAGATAGATTTCACTTGATTGTTATCTTTCTTAATCGATTTTTAAAAAGCAATTTCATTCGATGAAACTATATTAATCGATCAAAAAAGTCTATAATCAATTGAAAGTATCTTTGAAGTTGAAAAGTCAGATTTTAATCAATTTTCACTCAAAAAATAATCGATTTTTTTTTTTTGTTAAAATTTTTTACATAAATTTTTCACCTTGCAACTGTTATAAGTCAAGAATCTTTTTTTTATGTGAACGTTTCGAAATGTTTCATTTAGCTAATCAATAAAAGCAAAGCCATTATTTGGTTCAATAAAATTTCTCATCTACTGCATACAAGACCAAGTGCACTGTTAACTGTGTACTAAAATTAATAGTATAATTAAAAATAGTAATCGATCTGACTTTTTGAAATTGATCAGTGCACATTTTACTCGTGCAAGATTATGTTCATAAATGATAGTCTTCCAGAAGTTCGAGTATCCACGAACATATCTTGATCTTTCAGTTTAATAAGTAATTCGACTTATCTCTTATGTTGTTTTTTCAAGCATTAAAATTGTCCGACCTTATTCAACTCGTGAACACTACGATAATAGAGTAGAGATCGGATCGGGCAGACATGAACAAGTCTTGCCCCTGCACGAATCATCAGAAAGTGATTCAATTTCGAGATCTGCTACCAACGTCAATGACTCACTATTCAGTATTTATACCAACACTGCACATTCCCAGGCACGGATAAAATTCTCATATGTATGTTTTTTTTTCACTTAAAGATAAATGCACTTTATGTACTTGCAAATAACACGAACTCTAATATTAGATAATAACTCACCGCATAAAATCATCATCCCAACGACCATAACATAAATCGATGCCGCCAACGAAGGCGATTTTTTGATCGATAACAACTAATTTTTCATGGTGAGACCATAAAAAAACTCCACCCTTAGGATGATGATCAGGATGTCGAATAACCTTAGAGATTAAAATAATCGAACTATTTTTAATATTCTTAATTAAAATATTCAACCAACTTTAATAAATCCTCCTTTACTTTTGTTAGTTAATATTCGTTTTGTATATGCACTATTCAAACCCATAGCAAATGACATTTCTTTAAAAACCATTACATAAACACGAATTCCTGCATCCTATACATTATGAAAAAATTTAATGGACATAAATAATAAAATAAATCAAATTTTTACAGCTATTCTTCCTAATACATTATCAAGTCGAAATGTTTCATCGTCTGTTGGTCTTATCAACATGATTTCAGGTGAAAGCCACCAATCAGTAATAAAAACTTCTTCTTTAGCTGTTAAAAGTGCTCTAGCAACGGCTTCCATATATGATTTACCATTAACAAACCTATATTAAATATTCTAATTTTTAATACAAGATCATTATATTAATTATTTTACCAATAAGCTAATTGATTTTCTCGAACAGGTGCAAATGACACAAATCGACTTGCTGTTTTATCGATAAAACCTTTTCCTTGTTGAATTAAATTTGATAAATGTTGTGTCCATTCATCACTATCACGTGACGTTCGACATTTAATAACTAATGTACGTTGTAAATTTTTTATTTTAATACCATGATGAGCACCAACATTACGAAGACCAGTCAAAATATGAAAATCACGATCAACTAACATTGGAAATCGTACTTCATGTGTATTAGGTCGTATATAAGTTACATAACTATCTTTAATAACGAACCATCTATATTCAAAAAAAATTAAGATCTTTTTTATTCAAAGTAATATTAAATGAAAAAAAAAAACAAAACAAGCATACTTTCGATCATGATGACGTTTAAATATATCACAAAACAATGCCAGACGAAATAAAATACGTTGACCAGGATACTCATCATGAGATCGTTTTAATAGATAACCTTCTTTTCGACTAATTGATACACCATAGATGAATGATAAACAACTTACTTCAAAAAATTCACACTAAAATAATTTAAATAGCATTAATATGATGTTATTAAAAAGAAATTTCTTATAAATACTAAATATTTTGATTAATTTATATGTTAAAACTAGTGATAATATCAATTATGAATACATACTGTTGCTGAATGTTTACGAAATTTAGGATGTTTAAGAACTTTATTAAGATAGTCGATAAGAATTGCCTATGCAAGAGGAAACAAAATAATAATATTAAAAAAAGAATCAAAAAAGTTTATTGTATAATTTACACAACGTTGTTGAATAATAGTATCATTAATAAATGCCATTCGATCATTTTTTGTTGGAAAACGTGGATAGTCTTGATTTTCATTTTGCATTCTATAATGAATTGAAATATAATTAAAAAAAATAAATCCAATTTACACTATCTTAGTTAAACAAATACAATAAATTCACAATAAACAGACAAATATTTTAGAAATACAGTTGTTGCGTAACGAATTTAATCGATTCATTTCGCATCATCAACCGACGATGATCATTAAGAAAAATGTAAACTAAAGAGTGATCCAAAAATTTCGATTCCTCTCTGTAAATTGACATTATTTATATAAAATACATAGTTCTGTAGAGAAAGATCAAAGGATATCATCTGAAAGGAAAATAGTTCGAATGTCATCGAGATCATGAAAATTTCTAGTTTCTTTATTAAGTATGACGAAGCATTTTTACATCTTTCGGTAAAAAATAAAAATATTCTTGTAATATCTGAATGATTAAAGTTGAGCAAAATATATTCATTTCTAGGTATTTTTACATGGGTTCAATAGAGTTCGACAAGCTTTACAGGTATATGAATACACCAATAAAACATCTAATCCTCGTTTCCTATACAAAATATGGAAGAAACCAGGTAGACTAATAAAAATCTCACGTATGTTGCACGAGAGAGTATGCTTAATTTTCAATAACATTAGTTGATTGACTGATAATTGATATTTCGAGATGTAGTGTGACATATTGAAGGTGAAAATAACTTTTCCGAGTCACATGAACAGAAAGAACAGTAGATCAGCTAAAGTTATTAAAAGTTCAGCTTATTCTCTCTAATGCTGAATGCATGAAATTAATATTAGTCTACTACACTTCTATAATTCAGTTGACTCTATATGTACG